ATCCTCAGTAAAAGACACTTACAATCATTTAGAGCCAACATCAAGCCCTCCAAATTCCCAATAACTTTTATAGGACTTTTCTCATAATGACTTAAGTAGAACTTTTTAAGTCTAAATATTTTTTGAAGATACATAGTATATGTATAACTGTATATGGCAGAGTGAAGGAAAATAAGATACTTACATATAGATAACGGAGGAAAGATCAAGTTATATTTTGTTAGCCCTCCTATGACACAATAATAAAAATAGAAATATCTAGGCCATACCAGGTAGGAATACAATTTTGAACTAAAGCCCTCCTGGTCCAGCAGACAGCATTAAATACCAAGCCGATGTTTTGGATTTTGTTTCATCTTGGTCAGGGGAAAGAATCCTTCACCTTTGCTTGAAGCCTTAACAAAATGTATTGTATGTCACAAAGAAAAAAATATATTATAGTAGAGAAAACAAAGATTCCTACTTTTCAATACTGCTACTACTGCCAACATTATCACCAGAATATCAGACAAAGATTCCAACTTCCTGCTACTACTGCCAACATTATCACCAGAATATCAGACAAAGATTCAGACTATACTGCTACTACTGCCAACATTATCACCAGAATATCAGACAAAGATTCCAACTTCCTGCTACTACTGCCAACATTATCACCAGAATATCAGACAAAGATTCAGACTATACTGCTACTACTGCCAACATTATCACCAGAATATCAGACAAAGATTCCAACTTCCTGCTACTACTGCCAACATTATCACCAGAATATCAGACAAAGATTCCAACTTCCTGCTACTACTGCCAACATTATCACCAGAATATCAGACAAAGATTCCAACTTCCTGCTACTACTGCCAACATTATCACCAGAATATCAGACAAAGATTTCAACTTCCTGCTACTACTGCCAACATTATCACCAGAATATCAGACAAAGATTCAGACTAACTGCCAACATTATCACCAGAATATCAGCTACTACTACTGCCAACATTATCACCAGAATATCAGACAAAGATTCCAACTTCCTGCTACTACTGCCAACATTATCACCAGAATATCAGACAAAGATTCCAACTTCACCAGAATATCAGACTTCCAACTACTGCCAACATTATCACCAGAATATCAGACAAAGATTCCAACTTCCTGCTACTACTGCCAACATTATCACCAGAATATCAGACAAAGATTCCTACTGCCAACATTATCACCAGAATATCAGCTACTACTGCCAACATTATCACCAGAATATCAGACAAAGATTCCAACTTCCTGCTCCTACTACTACTGCCAACATTATCCTGCTACTACTGCCAACATTATCACCAGAATATCAGACAAAGATTCCAACTTCCTGCTACTACTGCCAACATTATCACCAGAATATCAGACAAAGATTCCAACTTCCTGCTACTACTGCCAACATTATCACCAGAATATCAGACAAAGATTCCAACTTCCTGCTACTACTGCCAACATTATCACCAGAATATCAGACAAAGATTCAGACTATACTGCTACTACTGCCAACATTATCACCAGAATATCAGACAAAGATTTCAACTTCCTGCTACTACTGCCAACATTATCACCAGAATATCAGACAAAGATTCCAACTTCCTGCTACTACTGCCAACATTATCACCAGAATATCAGACAAAGATTCAAGATATCAGACTAAGATTCCAACTTCCTGCTACTGCTACTACTGCCAACATTATCACCAGAATATCAGACAAAGATTCCAACTTATCACTGCTACTACTGCCAACATTATCACCAGAATATCAGACAAAGATTCCAACTTCCTGCTACTACTGCCAACATTATCACCAGAATATCAGACAAAGATTCCAACTTCCTGCTACTACTGCCAACATTATCACCAGAATATCAGACAAAGATTCCACTACTGCCAACATTATCACCAGAATATCAAAGACAAAGATTCACCAGACTATACTGCTACTACTGCCAACATTATCACCAGAATATCAGACAAAGATTCCAACTTCCTGCTACTACTGCCAACATTATCACCAGAATATCAGACAAAGATTCAGACTATACTGCTACTACTGCCAACATTATCACCAGAATATCAGACAAAGATTCAGACTATACTGCTACTACTGCCAACATTATCACCAGAATATCAGACAAAGATTCAGACTATACTGCTACTACTGCCAACATTATCACCAGAATATCAGACAAAGATTCAGACTATACTGCTACTACTGCCAACATTATCACCAGAATATCAGACAAAGATTCCAACTTCCTGCTACTACTGCCAACATATCACCAGAATATCAGACAAAGATTCAGACTATACTGCTACTACTGCCAACATTATCACCAGAATATCAGACAAAGATTCAGACTATACTGCTACTACTGCCAACATTATCACCAGAATATCAGACAAAGATGGGGTTCAGCTTGCAGAATTGATATATATATACTCTGTCATTACCTATTGATAAAGATAATTGTTATTTAATGTATATCACGATAGAGCCATAATTTTAATCTTTGCTGTAAATAATTATACCATTGTTCTGATGATGTCTAGCCTAGCTAGCTGAAACATGTATATACCATATGTATTTTTCTGCCATACCAATTTTGCGTCATGTACCAACCTGCGAAAAAGGCAAAAATGAAACAATCACAAACTGAATCCACTCCTGGAGATAAGCCCATTATGGACACTACTAATAGCAACACTATCAACAGAATGTCAGATGAAAATGTTGCTCATTTTCGAGCATGCTGTCAATTTAACGTCACTTTAATTGGGCCATTGTATTGTCATTACCATGTGATGAAGACAATTGTAATTACCTCACAGCTGAAATGTAATTTTAACTTAAGCTATGGAAATATGTATACCTGGATAAAGAAAGATATATCTGAAATAACATGTTTATGTTTTATCCAAAATGCTGGATTATAATTAAAGGCGAGGATGCTGTATCAAAGTCAGTATAGACAGAATTCCAGATTAGACAGGTTATACATATATTGTAATATATTAAGCCATGATCACACTCACAACTAAACATTTATTATAAGTTTGATGGGGAGAATGTGACACACAAGGTCCACTGTACTTTCAACTATTAAAATCAAATCAGAATTATCTGACCCTATATTTATGTGAATTATTTCAGTCTGATAAAAAAAATTATATTTCTGTTGTTGATATTTTTATGGCAATAATTTCATATTCACTTTTGCCAAAAAAGCAACACTTCTTTTGAATAGAAAAAGTGATTGTGATAGCTGCTCTGTCTGATGGCTGCATATACAGAGAGATGCAGCTTAATACTGCTGACAGAACATGAAAATCAATGTCAATTAAGATGGCTACAAAACAACAGCTGTACAGTAATTTAGCTATCCGCAGCTAATGGCTCATTGTTCACACTCACTTGTTCCCAGCAAAATTTCAATCAGCAATATGTCCTCAAAACTAACATTTCTTCAGCTTTGATTTGGTTTTCTTGCATGTTTTTACTATATTTTATTATCGTAGTTACAGCAGACACGCAGTGCAATCCTGAAGATACAATCAGTGAAGTGTCCTATAATTAGACCTATACTGAAACGCACGCAATAACACATTGCTGAAGGATATTAAACCTACTGTAACAGTTATAAATTGGATAAGAAGGATGGTAAATATCTTAACTTAAATGGGAGTTTCTACCATATCAGACACTATTTAAAAAGTAGTTTATCTAATTAAACACACTTTAACAACAAGCAAATGCCTTTTTATGTGTTAAAAACAAAGAAAACTATTTCATGTCATAGTACACTGTGTAATTACATTAGATTAGGTATAAGTGTAATTTATAAATGACAGTAGCTTTTCATTTTTTATGTAAATACCCCATGTTGACCTTGAACAATAATGCTAGTACTTCTTCAAATGAAGTTCATATTTACATTAGACAACTCAAATATATAAAGGATAATATTAATTTGTCACATTTAGTAGATGATTTTTTAAACTTTATCATAGTACACAAGAAAATGTTTTGACTACATGTATAAATTGTAAAACTTTGTACTGTTATATGCAACATAACCATCACATTGTTGACTGTTAAACGTGATTAATGAGCAAACTCTAAATAAGTACTTACCTTTAAAAAAACATTTTTTGTTAGATCTAAAGCTATGTGTTACCTGTTTAAAAATCAATATAGATCTACCCATGTACATATACATTTATTTACATTACTCCAATTCTATGTGAAAAATAAAAATATATTTTTTTAGTACTATATCTCCAGTCAGTAACCAACACATGCAGACAACCCCCTCCCGTGACGATGGCCCTTCACTTCATATCCAGAAAAAAATTAATGCCACACCCAATTCATCAATGCTTATTTTTTACCCACCGGCACAATGTACTCTCGATCCCTATCACCAAGCTGGGTAGAGGCGCTGGCCACCTGAGTGGCATCCTGAGCAACGTTGAATATTGTTGCACGAAATCCCTCCATTTTCACAAGTCATAAGAAAGGTTACACCTTGTCAGAAACACCTTAATCCATCGTAGTTCTCAGCTAAACTGTTCGCCTGCCGTCCTTGGCATGCGGTTTCGTTTACTACGATGTGCCGCCTGCGGCTGCTGATGCTGATTCAAGCCGTTTTCCCGCGATTGTTGGCAATGCAAATGTCAAAGTTCACGTTTATTAACGTTGAAACGAATCAATGCGATAATTAATTTTACATAGAGATAAACAACTAGTTTTTAATTAACATTAAATTTAAGTTAAGTTTTGAAGTACATAAATACAGTGGAAAACGAATCGAAACTAGACACAGAGCGTAAATGCGAAACTACGAATCATATGCCAAATTTCACCAGCTTTACTTGTGATCAGAGTTCAAGGTCGGAAAACACCTTCCTGTCTGGGATCACAACTTTGTCCAAAGTTTACATGTTATCTCCGACCTGACTGTCACCAATGGCTATCGGAGGACGGTTGATGCAGGGGGTTGTTATCTATGTGTTGCTGATAAGTCTAGCAGATGGAGAAATACACCGGGCAAAGACATCTCATAAAAGCGGGGGACGAGGTAGTCGAGACATAGACGTGGCAAAAGAGAACCTAGCAGACGATATGTTCGGTTTTCAAGAGTTGAATACTTGGATTTTTGCGATTTTAGCTTCTATACTTGTTGGACTAAGTGGTATTTTCCCACTTCTTATCATCCCCATCGAAGCTGGCCCGGCATTAAAACATGGTGGTAAGTATTTTTTCGTTACTATGTATGTTTGGTAGTCTAGCATTCTCAACACGACCGTACCAGCTCAGTAGCTGCATAGTGGTATAAACATACGGTTCTGTGAACCAGCATATGTTTGCTGACGGAAAAGATTATAGGATAAGATTCTATGGACTGACACGTGTACAGAATTGTTTACACTATTTAGAATTTCTCTCATGGACTGATATAGTTGACCATACTGTTGTATATACGTCATGCACTGCGTAAATGGTCCTATATACGTCCCCGAGGTGTTCATTTTTATAAAATAAATGGAAGACAATAACATTAAACCAGCTACAAATGCACACATGATGTAAAAGATATAAAACAAAAAGACTAATAAAATGTTCTGAATATTTCTAATCATGATCTTTTTTTTGTACCAATCTGTGTTGGTTATCATTTTAAATGAACCAATACATTAAAAATTCATTTGGTTTACAAAATTTTTGAAACAAGATTTAAACTAATCTCATATTAAATTCTTATACATCATGATTTTTTTTCAACTTATCTGATTTTTATGGATGATATTGTATAGAGAACAAAAAGACAGGAATAATACATTCCTGCAGAGCACCTGACGTGAATCAAAGCAAGGTATATGAGATGTGATATAATTAATGGCTGGGCCAAAGAATTATGCAGAATTTCCTTCTGTGTTTTACATAAGTCTTTTAGTTGTAGAAGGCAACATATTAATAGCTTGACTCATTTTGTATACTAGATTCATATTTACTGATGCTCACTAAAGTTGTGAAAAGCAGTGTCAGGATTTAGAACCTATATCAGATTACATATCATATAGTTAATGTGATTAAATTTTCATATCATCTATAGATTTATTCTGGCATAGTTAAGTTATTTCATTAAATATGGTTACCTAAAAAATGTACATGTATATTTATACATGATAATCAAGAGTGTTGCAAGATTTATTGTAGTCTTTGTGATATCATTCTTCATTAAAGAACCTCAACTTGTTCTTTAGAGTATTGTTCTAATTAATGCATGATGCTTATTGAGCACAGTTAATACAAATTCTGAGTTCAAACAAAAGTACATGTATGATGTTTTACTCATAGTAAGATTAACTCGGTATTCTAATAATATATGACCAGTATAAGTGATTTAGTAGTTCAAAATTTTGATAACTAGATGATGATTTTAACATTTAGTAACAAAATGAAATTAAAAAGCATTGTTCAGCATACAAATGATTAATTTATTTCACCAGAAATTGGGTTTTCCTTCTGACATCAGCAACATCAAAGCAGAAAGTGATATTTTGATAGAATACTGGTAAAATATTTCAGCTTTTTTGTTTCGATCCATTGATATCAATTATCAGATAAAAATGCCACATAATAGATACTTTTCAGATATTGAGTAAGGATCATGAGGTGAACGTATGGGAGGAAATACCTACCTTTTTGGAACACATACCATATATTTCTGTCAGATCAGTATGGTAGAATACCCGATAGTGTTACAAGTTGACAAGAGTTATTTCCCTTGTATTACTCTGAACATGTTTACATAAGGATATTAAACGATAACTTTATTTTGATCACCAAACATGAATTGTTTTTAGAGATATTGCCAATGAAACAGCATCTCCAGGATCTTATAAACAAACAAAGACTTTGTTTTATTGGGAAATCATCTGAATGTAGGAATGCACATGACTTGTGATCATGAATTCATGTATTAAAAATGTATCATTATTTGTTCCTGTGTCCTTTAAAAAGAAATTTCTTCTTACTTAAAGTAGTCTACATCAAATAACATATACAGATTAATTGCAATTCTGGACATAGACTGAACATATCTTTGGACATGGACTGAGTATATCTCTGGACATAGAATGAATATATATATCTCTGAACATAGACTAAATAAATATATCTCTGGACATAGACTGGATAAAGATATCTCTGGACATCGACTGTTTGTATCTCTGGACATAGACAGAATAAAAATATCTCTGGACATAGACTGAATAAATATATTTGTGGACATAGACTGAATGAAAGTATCTCTGGACATAGACTGAATAAACATATCTCTGGCCATAGACCGAATATCTCTGCTAGAGAATTTAATGCAATCATCAATTTACATCATTAAACTAAAGTCTGTGTAGGTCAGTTTTCAAGATTCAAATGCTCACATGACCTTTTTATATATTGCTCATGAGCTTGTGTCCTCATTTGAGCATTTTTCTAATTGTGAACATATTTTTCACAGGAGATTTCTGCTTCATTTGCATGTTAAAATACACATGAGCAAATTGTGTTAGATTTCATGTTGGAATGTCTTGACATAAGCTGCTCATGTAAAGATTATGAGCAAATTTTGGTAGGGGTAGTCTTCCTTGAACTGTGCTTGTATACCAAACCCCAAACCATTATTTTACATTCTTCCACCCACTCACACACTTGCCACACAAATTACAATTCAAATGTACTATTTACACTCAGAAATACTGAACTGACACATAACAACAAGTGCTTCATGATGCATTCCAGAAATATCAGTATTTTTTGTAAGCTAAAAAAATAAATTGCCTCCCTTGGCACAAGAATAGAACAGCAATCTATCTTTGCTTAGCCATGTTTGTCTAACACACTTGAGATGCCAACTTTCTATCTGCAACATCTGTAAATTATTAACAAGCCCTTGGCTACTTTATTCCTGCATCAAAAAATTCTAAACATCTATTGTTTCACATAAGAATAATTTCATATCTTGAAAAAGTTCAATTAAAATAAAAGATAAGCTAGTTATCCTTCACTTGTCCCTCACCTGAATTTTTTTTGATGATGATGCAATAACGTCATTTGAGAAGAAAATAATTCAGAAAAATTAAAAGAGATGTTGCTGTTAGTAATACATTGTAATATCATAAATGTTAGAAGATTTACATGTGGATGTGACTCAACAAAACATTTTATGCTTTAGAAAGGCCACCAAATTATGCCACCACATGTGCTAACTGAGGTGATGCTAATGAATGTATACATAATATGTACGCTGGGTGATGACTTCAGTTGATAAAATTCACTTTGTGTCAATATGATTTTATCTTTGTGTTATCTAAATCAAGCTTAAATCATTGATCAAGTACATTTTGATATCTTGATGATAACATGGTGCTTACATGATATGAAAAATAAAGTATTTGAGATTGTAAGGTAGGTTAGTAGCCTGAGGGATTATAAGGTAGGTTAGTGCAAGGGATTGTAAGGTAGGTTAGTGCAAGGGATTATATAGTAGGTTAGTGCAAGGGATTGTAAGCTAGGTAAGTGTGAGGGATTATAAGGTAAGTTAGTGCAAGGGATTGTAAGGTAGGTAAGTGTGAGGGATTATAAGGTAAGTTAGTGCAAGGGATTGTAAGGTAGGTAAGTGTGAGGGATTATAAGGTAAGTTAGTGCAAGGGATTGTAAGGTAGGTTAGTGCAAGGGATTGAAAGGTAGGTTAGTAGTTTGAGGGATTGTAAGCTAGGTTAGTGTGTGGGATTGTAATCTAGGTTAGTAGTGTGAGGGATTGTAAGCTAGGTTAGTAGTGTGAGGGATTGTAGGGTAGGTTGGTAGTGTGAGGGATTGTAAGCTAGGTAAGTGTGTGGGATTGTAATCTAGGTTAATAGTGTGAGGGATTGTAAGCTAGGTGAGTAGTGTGAGGGATTGTAAGGTAGGTTAGTAGTGCGAGAGATTGTAAGGTAGGTAAGTAGTGTGAGGAATTGTAAGGTTGGTTAGTAGTGAAAAGGATTGTAAGGTAGGTTAGTAGTTTGAGGGATTGTAAGGTAGGTTAGTAGTGTGAGGGATTGTAATCTAGGTTAGTGTGTGGGATTGTAATCTAGGTTAGTATGTGGGATTGTAATCTAGGTTAGTGTGTGGGATTGTAATCTAGGTTAGTGTGTGGGATTGTAATATAGGTTAGTAGTGTGAGGGATTGTAAGGTAGGTTAGTAGTATGAGGGACTGTAAGGTAGGTTAGTAGTTTGATGGATTGTAAGGTAGGCTAGTAGTGTGAGGGATTGTAAGCTAGGTTAGTGTGTGGGATTGTAATCTAGGTTAGTGTGTGGGATTGTAATCTAGGTTAGTAGTGTGAGGGATTGTAAGCTAGGTTAGTAGTGTGAGGGATTGTAAGCTAGGTAAGTGTGTGGGATTGTAATCTAGGTTAATAGTGTGAGGGATTGTAAGCTAGGTGAGTAGTGTGAGGGATTGTAAGGTAGGTTAGTAGTGCAAGAGATTGTAAGGTAGGTAAGTAGTGTGAGGAATTGTAAGGTAGGTTAGTAGTGAAAAGGATTGTAAGGTAGGTTAGTAGTGTGAGGGATTGTAAGGTAGGATAGTAGTGTGAGGGATTGTAAGGTAGGTTAGTAGTGTGAGGGATTGTAAGGTAGGTTAGTAGTGTGAGGGATTGTAAGGTAGGTTAGTAGTGTGAGGGATTTTAAGGTAGGTTAGTGTGAGGGGTTGTAAGCTAGGTTAGTGTGAGGGATTGTAAGCTAGGTTATCAGAGTGGGGGATTGTAATCTAGGTAAGTAGTGTGAGGGATTGTAGGCTATGTTACTATTGTTAGGGGTTGTAAGGTAGGTTAATATATAGTTAAAGGGCTAAATGGTAAGAATTAGTATCAGAAGTGTCTTATGCTTCACAAATGACATCTGTCATGTACACTCAAATGAAAACTAGCTAGGTTTATAATTTTAGTTATTCAGAATGATAGTGAGGATTAAAACTGGCTAGTATTTATAGTAGTAAAAATGATGATTTGGGGTTAGGATTAAGTGTGATATTCAGGATTAAATGATTAGAAGTGTGAAGATTAAAAGATTAGGTTTGGGAGTAATATCAGGGAGGAAAAGGATTGGATTGGGAGTGATATTGAGGATGGAAAGGGGTAGATTAGAAGTGAAAGTGAGATATATGAAGAAAAGGCAAGGTTAGTGGGTGGGGGGATCAGATAAAAAAAGTAATTGTGAGGATTAAAAGGTTAGGATAAGGAGTGATAGTAAGGATGAAAAGGTGTAGATTGAGAGTGATATTTGAATGTCATTATAATTATTGACTAGAAATTACCTTGAGGTAGAAAGTAAAGGTGAAGAATGAGGGTGAATGGGTGATTAAGGAAGGAAGATGGTATCATCAATTAAGGATGAGATAAGGTAGAAACGAGAATGAAAGATTGGTAGCAGTTTTATGTGATAGGGTACAGTAGGTTGGCATTTGGTTACAAAAATACTGCTAATTACAGATGGATTCTTTGCATTGTTAAAAAAAGTTGAAAAGGTGATACAAGATTTGTTATCATGTTTGTTAAATAATCCAAAGTATGGTGATGTTTGCCCTTTAGAAGTTACTTACATATAAATGAAGCAGCATATTTTATCAGTACAATCCTAGCTTTTTGTTAAGTCTTTAGATGGACTGATACACAAGTAAGGTTGAAGCTTTTCTCAGGACATTTATGTATTACTCTGTAGAGTTAATAAACTTTTTTTAGATTTGTTATTTTTTGAGAGCGTAGTACTAGAGTGTATAGTACATGCAATTTATTGAACAAAATTTGTCTGAACAAAAACAATAAATTTTGATTTACTGCATATTTTAGAAAAAATATCTTCAGGTAATTCAGTATTTGCATTGTGGTCAGATGATTGTGCCTATTTAAAGATTCTCGTTATTTAAAAGTGCAAATGTACTATGTATATTACAAGTGTTACTTGTATTATTGTATCACTGATGAGCAGAGGCGTAGGTGTGCATTACATGCATGCATTACATGTACCTAGGATGTGTGTTTGATGTCTGATGTAACTGGTGCCTACATACAACATGTAGAGGTTGGTATCTAATTGTAGATTTTGAAGTAACTTGTGATGCACATAAGGTAGCCTGCTACATGGACTATTGAGAGGGTTATAGAGGTCAATCAGATTACAATGACAGGGTTCATGTCGAGGACAAGGCCATACATATCACATATTAGATACAGGTACAAGGTCTGATAAATTATGTTTGAAGATTTATACCAAAGATTTATTAAGCTGTATATTAGTAAAACCATTTACACATTTACCTTGTTTGCTATTGATAGAGAATCTTATGAGCTGATGCTGATACCTTAATTTAGATGACATATGTTGGACAATACCAACACTGTATACATAACTTGCCTTATGGAAAGGACCATTCAGTTTGTCAAACAAATGGCCTTGACCCAAAGTAAAGGTTAAATATGGCAATATATGTTGAAATTACAATAATAATTAATAATTCAAGGTTCTAGTGTATACCATTGTATCCAAGCAATTAACATAGCTGCCTTAAAGCAGTATACATTAAGTATAATAGCAACATAGGTTTCTCATAGCAGTTCACAAATTTTCAAAGAGCTTTATTATAACATGTACTTTAATGTATAGAATTATAATACAATCCTATATACCATGTCGATTGCTAAATGCCAAATGGCTCGATCAAGTTTGTTCAAGTAACCTTTATATGGACGAAAATCCATGACTCAGGATTTAAATGTGTTACAATCTTGTAAGAAAGGAGGATAATAGAGTATAGGATTGTGGCCTTTAAAGTCGACTGCTGTGGTGGAATTTGGTGCCATCTACACATAGATGAACTTTGGGGGAATCTTGTTGGAAGATGTTTGAAATCTATGATTTCTGACTGAAGATCACATCATTGGTTGTGGTTAAACCTGTCTAATTATACAGTACGATCGAATGAATCAGTTAGTATAAACATCATCTTGCCTTCTTTATCATGAATAGGAAAGACAATGTCTGCATACAAGATTAAGATATAAAGTGATTGTGTAAATCTGAAAATAGAATAATTACCTTTTTGGTTTTACATTTATTTAATGAGTGTTGCCCTCTTCTGCTATTTTTCAAACACTATTAGAACCCAAATAAAAACAGCAATAGCATATGTTATGAATACAGGTTTTGTATGACTTAAAATTGAGAAAGTATTATTTTGTTAACAAGGAATTTATGCATTAAGAATGACACTGTTTCTATGATGGTGTGGCAAGCATGCCCATAAACCTACCGCTATGTAAGGTGAAACGTCCCTATAAAAACTCTCGTGAGACTTGAGCTTGCTTGACATCCTGAAACGTTGAGGAGAACTGGTATTCCCTTGAGAACAACACAGCACTTACTATGGAAAATTACTTCAGCTAACACAGTAGTACTGTTTTAGGTACTTCTTACACAGATGGCTAGTCACTTGTTTCTTATGTAGAAAAGTCAACAAAACCCAGAAAGGATGGCAGTAAACTAGAACTGTCTGGGGAAGTGCTGCAGTGGTAGCCCCAGCTGGTCACCGTATTAACTTTTCCCCTGATGTCTCAGACTGGCTAAAGTAATTGGCTACTATGGCCTACAATACTGGTATTTTACCCAGAGACTGATGATTTATAACACAACCAATTAATGTCCATGTCCATACAGACTCATATTCTCCTTCCTAGTATATCTACAGCAACCACTGCATCCTTATGGAACACAAGTAGAATCTATTGTGTAAGACCTGGGATATAGACATTGCTGTGAGGAACAAGATTCTATACACTTGTCAATTTCTGATAGGTTGGTTGTTTGTCTCGAAGTTAGCTTGTCAAGATACCCTTGAAAACATATCAAATGTACCTGGTAGATGAGTATATTAAATATCACCAACTTCTCAATACAAATTGTTAGATTTGTCGTTGGTACTGTAGCTATAGGTTATAAAAAACTGGTGATTAACCCACTCCTAAGCTGGTACATGCTTCTGTTGGTGTCTCTCTGTTACTATATAGCTTGGTTATACACAAACTCTTGTTGACATTAGTGAACATCCAGAGTATAACCACCTTCTTGCCTTCTGTCTATTCTGTGGATTCTTTCCTGCAATGATTGGCAATGCTGCAAAGGTACACAACATCAGCTACATAAAAATATACATGTTCATTTATCCCTTCCAGCAGGTCAACTGGTGTCAATAATTTCTGTCATCCAAGATTTGTACTAGAGTTCATATACACGTGAAGCTACACAAGATGTATAGCCTACCAAGGAATTTGGCCTTGGATTTTTGTTTTTTGTTGTATGACACTTCTACATCAACATCATCAAATAAACTTCCAATAGGTTCACCTTTGTTACTTGAATGGTGTACAGTCTACCACACTTTCAATAGGTTCTCCTCTGTTACAGTTAATGGTATGACAGTAAAGCTTTCTGGCTGTAGATAGATATCTTCAGGTTCAGGCTTGTCCTCCTGTATATTGTCAAAGTTTTAGTTCAATATTTATATGGACCATTAAAACTGATGCCAATAAATCCTACTTCAGTAGCCTCCATGTGTCATTTTCTGAGTCAGTTCCAGCATTTCTATAATCCTGGTGCACCAAGAAGTACAGTACTGTGTATATATGGCAGAGTTCTGCACAATACACCTATATATTCAAGGGTTGACCCTGTGTTTCTTCCTTTTGATAATATTCAGATTTCAGAGTGTAATGAACCTAATCTGTTAAGTGATGTTCTCACTGACAACCAACACAGATACTGAAGTACTTGTCAAACCAGAATTTTGGCACACCAACAGAAGGTAGATCAGATGTTGGTGGGTGGATGCTGGTAACTGCAGTACTACCTTATAACAGGTCCACACATCATCAAAGTGTGCTCTCCATGTCCTACTGAGCTGATGATGGCAGTGATCTGTTGGGAGGATAGTCTTCAACTAATTAACTTTCAGACCAGCCATAGCTCCCCACAGTCTGTCTATCATAAACTTCCACCAGCACAATGCATCATAAAATCTACCCTGCTTTTAGACTTAGGAGTCTGTTTATATGCCATGTGCTTCTGATTCTGATAACAAAGCTTGTTTGAACAACTGATATAATGATGTGAAAGGGTACCAACAATGTTGTTTATAATGCTTTTCCCGAAATATATATACATTCCACATGAAAAATTAATGAAGTGGCTTCAAATTTTCCAAAACAGAACCAACAGTCAGACATCATTCATATGCTTAGCGTCTTATTTCCTTGTTGAATAGGTTCAGTTACATGTGGGGGAGTATGTTAAAGTGTCTCTTCATCTTCATGTAAACATGTAACATATTTAGTTCTCATACTGACAGTTGTATGTCAAGGTAAATATTGAGCTGCTGCTAGTAGCATGTATAGCCTGAACAGTAATATTTTATTGGTGCCATCGATGGGACTGTATAAATATCAATATAAGTAACAGCTGTGTAAATATAATGTTACAAGTTTAGTGGAAGCCCAGGAGACTTTATAACATACTAATATATTACTGTAATAATGAAAATTAATGAAATGATGGAAATATTGTTCCTGTATTGATAAATGGTAAATGAAAATTATAACCATTCAAGGAACATAGATTTACTGTCAGTGCATTCCAATAGAATATTGATTGTATTCATTTTGGAAATAATGATGATATATTAATGATAAAGTTCAGTATAGAAAATCAGTTATCATATAAATCTAAACCTAATAACATGCAGATATGATGCTAAGATAGTATGTACTCAAAAGTTTAAGAAACAAGAAGTACATGTGTCGTTAAATTCATCTGTACAGATATGTACTGATAGACATATGTCAATTGATTAGTGTTACAACAGAAACTAAAAACAATGTCTATTTATGACTTATCTCAATAAATAATTCTTTCTGTTAATGTATGTATTAAGGACTATATATAATTTGTAGAATCTGTTTGTAGTTGAATAAAACTCTTCTCTAAATAGCTGCCTCCTGAAAACTGTGTCTAACTTGTCTATAGTTACCTGCCTCCTGAAGACCATATCTAAACCTGTCTGTAGATACCTGCCACCTGAGGACCATATCTAACTTGTCTATAGTTACCTGCCTCCTGAAGACCATATCTAACCTGTCTGTAGATACCTGCCTCATGAAGACCATATCTAACCTGTCTGTAGATACCTGCCTCCTGAAAACCATATCTAACCTGTCTATAGATACCTGCCTCATGAAGACCATATCTAACCTGTCTGTAGATACCTGCCTCCTGAAAACCATATCAAACCTGTCTGTAGAAACCTGCCTCATGAAGACCATATCTAACCTGACTGTAGATACCTGCCTCCTAAAGACCATATCTAACCTGACTGTAGATACCTGCCTCCTAAAGACCATATCTAACCTGTCTGTAGAAACATGCACCCAGAAGAACATATCTAACCTGTCTATAAAAACCTGCCTCCTGAAGACCATATCTAACCTGTCTATAGAAACCTGCCTCCTAAAGACCATAGACCATATCTTAACCTGTCTGTAGATATCTGCCTCCTAAAGACCATATCTAACCTGTCTCTCGATACCTGCCTACTAAAGACCATATTTAACCTGTCTCTAGATACCTGCCTCCTGAAGACCATGTCTAATTATAACCAGTCTGTAGATTTGAGAAACTTTTCATCAGTGAGTCAGACATTGGCAGAATTTGATATCTTGACTTCATGTGATGATTTCAAGAGATAAATTGCTTTATTCCTGCCAATATTTTATTCATTGTGTTGATATAATATTATTTGGAAATTGGACTATACACATGTTTCTGCTATGGCCATTGGTGTAGTATGTATGTTAACTGATGCATCTAGCTATCGAAAGAGGTAATTACTTGCTTGGAATAGCTTTTTGATGTTAAAGGTCAAATTAAGGTAAAGGTCACTGTTAGCATTTCTGTAAAAAGATTTTTGGTGGTTTTTCACTTAATTTCTTGAGTTCCATTTGACCAATAAAACTAAATCTTGTAACATTGCTTTTTGTAAATGCCTATGCTGTTATTTTTGGATTGCTCTACAAGTAGATTAAGTTCAAGGTCATTTCAAAAGTCATTTCAACGCAATAACTTGAGTTCTGCTTATGTTGTGGTTTGCTAATGTCTGTATACCAGGTATATTGATAAACAATACTAGTACTATAGGTATAGTTAACTCGTGCGTGTAAAAAAAACTTTACGACATGCTAGTATTTACTTCAGGTATCTGATGTTAGCTCTGATATTTTGGAATACATACCCTGCTATGAATTACAAGTAAATTATGAATATCAACATCTAAAACATTTATACTTACACTGAAGAGGTATGGTATCTGTAACATTCATAGTTGAAAATATTAGAATATTGGATGATATTATTACCTTTCTGTATCTGCATTCATAGGAGTCCATCCCACCTGCTACCGAGTTGTACAGGTAAGGTCTGTTTAGAGACACACCTGGCTAACAGAGACTTCTGCTACAGAGGCTGCTCTGGTGCATGTTATGACCTGTAGGAGCAGTCTCCCTATAGCTTTTACAGGCAATGCTCGGGTAAACATCTGATCTGTTTGATTATTTATACAATACTCTGTCAGTGTCATTCTGTTAACATTTCAAAGCCATTATTTCTGCTTTCATTACTTGTAATATTTTTCCATGTGTTGACATAGTGGCTTTGATTATCACCATCAATATATCCAATTTGTATATTTTATTTCTTTGTTTGCAAGGACCTTTTTAATAATATTCAGTTACATAGTCCTATAGGTTTTTCGAGGAAAACTCTGAGAGCTAACAGCAATGGCTATTTTTAGTCACTATCATAAAAATAATTAGATCATCCTATGTAAAATTCAAAGGAAATGGAAGAATGGAAGGACCCATAGCCTGTTTCAGGATTATCACTGGTCTTTAACGACCACTCGGCCAAAGCACCATCTTAGGCTTTATGTATATGGCATAACATCATCCATGATTTGTTGTTCAACTGTCATTCCAATACTGTCATCATTTCTTAAAAAACTTCTGTTAAATTTTGAAGAGCTGGACTAAGGGACCTTCTTAAATTTGAGGGAATTTAACATTGTAATGAATTTATCAGTTGGTATCCTGGATGCTAAAAATAATGCGGAAAATGACCCCCATAAAATCAAAAGACCAGTGGGAGATCTAACCAGAAAAATTTGGCAGTCTGCTCCAAATATAAAGTACATGTTGTATATTACATAACCTATTAAATTGGCACATGTCTGGATTAGTGGCATTCAATGTGTAATTAACTTAAATGTTCTTAAAGTGAAAACTGACATGATGATATGCAAAATGTTTGTGTGTAGATATATGTTACAAGTCTGTCGTCCCGAACAGGAGAGGTGTAACAATGATGGCATTTTATAATAGAGCAATAGTGTAATCATGCTTAAGTTATATCTTTTAGAACACATGAAAGATTTTGTACAAAAAATAACCTGAGATAAGAGTGATCTTTGGTCAGGAAAAGTAGTTTCACCTGATCAAAGATGTTAAATCAGGTCTAGTTAGCACACACTAGTATTTAAGACAAGCAGTGAATATTTTGTCTGACCTCTCTAACAGGAGTAGAATATCATAACTGGTAAAAACAAGCGTTCATTGATGTATAACACCTGATAGGACATATCCTGAATCTGTAATTGGAATTCAGTATTAACTAATTTAAAAAATGAGGCATAGATCTTGCTTCATAAGTAAGTCATTGATTGACGGAACAGAACTGTTTATACAGGAGGGAGAAAGCAAAGCTTTCATCTGCTTATTTCATTAACACCTGTTGTTGGGTAGGTACCAACAGTAGGTTAAGACTAGATGTAATTAGGCGGCGAAGTGTGGTGCCATAATGCTGCACCTGATTGGTGGTTTGTATGGTGCTTGGCTATAGTTACAGGTTCTACCCTCCTCATGTCATTGACTGTACATGATCTTTTCTGCCCTCATGTCATTGACTGCCTACACTACAAAGAAATAGACAAACTAGAGCTGTTTCACAGCCACAGTATTTGTGGCAGGTGTTCACATCTTTAAAGTTCTCATCTAAAATAACAAATGGTGTGGGTTTTTGACTGAAACCTTTTTGTTGAAATAGGATGATGGAAATAACGGCATAATATCCTGAAGTTTCAGCTGTAATATGATATTCTGATGGACTCATGATTTAATCTGTGGATCTTTTTATTGATTTTATTTTGATCTGTGGCATTGGGAATATTTTAGAATATTATCTCCACGGAAACTTAGTGCAGAATACATTTAACTGAAAACTGTAGGTTGTTGATTTCAGATGATATCGGTCAACTCCTTCTAGATCCTGGCATCTTAAGATACGTTAAGTGCAAACAAACGTGTTTTTTTATGAAAACATAAACACCGATTGGAGTGATAAATTTAAGAAAGATAATGCAGGAATGCAGTGTAGTTGGAGGAAACAGTCGGTAAGATTGTGTAGTGTTAGAGGAAGAGACAGCGATTGTGATGTAATGTTTGTGTTGAGATGTTTGGATAGAAGATATATAGTAGGGGAGTAGTACTCACTGAGACTTGATGATTATGAGAATGGTCATCAATAGTTGGATCTAATCCAGTCCTCATGACTTATAGCACAGTAGTCCTGAGAGGTCTTAACTTCTCCACGAAATGTGAAATAATTTCACAACAATTGACTCACCAAACATGTAATGAGTCCCTGATGTTTGTACTTAGGGAAGGTTACTGATCATTCAAGGGTAAAAAGGGTCATCTCCATGGTAATTGGCAAAACAAGAATTTGTGTATATATTGAGTCCCATGTATTCCTTGCATTGAGGGATGGGGAGGATTAGGGAGGGGGTAAGCAGACAGCAGTGCCAGCCAAATATAGGGAATAGGCAGAAACCAGACACTCACTGTTACCACATGGTGATGCTAGGGAAAGTCTGCAGGGCTGTATGGATAGTTTACCTGGTAATAGATTCATAAAGATATATACTTCATAAAACCTTCAAGTGTTTAGTGTCAAAGTCACCAGAATACTTGAAGTCAGTGCCAAGAAAACTTGATATAACAAAATTTTCATTGATATTTTTTGAGAAAGAATTTGATGGGTGTTTTGATACAAAGAGGGATGGTACACAGCTGGTGATCTGACCAATGCCTAGCGCCAGATCTACAGGCCATGGTTTACACTACTAATTGGATATGTGTATATTAGTTTTAATTCTGTGTGCATACACAATGTATTAGATGTAATGAGATTATATGTGTCTGGGTGGGAGGGAGTATTACCAGATACCAGAGCTGCTGGAGAATTAGGCAACCTGGAACCCATGTAAGACATGACAGACTTATGTAAATGTGTATGTGATAGTTTCCTGAACAGCCCACCAGGAAAGATGATTTGAGGATAGCTGAGGACATACATTTAATCCAACATTTTTTTTTTATAATTTTGTCAAATTTTAAAATTAATAGAGGACTTCTGTACTATATCTTTGTCCTTATTAAACCGTAGGAGAATCAATCGCAACAAGAACAAGTGTCACCAGTTAGTGGGTAATTTGTCCTTATTAATTGCAAAACTTTTTAATGTTGATGTTTCTTTTTCACAACAGGAATATTGTTCTGAAAATCTATCAATAAAATTCAAATCAAATAGATTTATTTTTGTGATACTTCTAACAAAATTATTGATTTGTTTGTGAACTTTCGAGATTTTTTTCAATAATTAATCATGCAGACTGATATCCCCATGGTAACATTCATTTAGAGCTGGGTTATGTGTGTCACAATAGAGACATTGCCAGTAAATTTATCATTTTATTATTGATAATAAAGTAATACCTGAAAGTGAAGTGTTGAATCTTTACACTGTTACAAAGGAAAAGAAATTGAACATCAGAGTAAATATTCCTCCATAGATGGATTTCAGTTCCAGTTCAAAAAAGGAATCTAAGATATCAGATGTTATCAGATGTTGTCCAGTCATCTGTACCTTCATCTTTATATTATTGTGCTAATCAGACCAATTGATCTGTGAGCTAAATATAGACCTTAGCTCTGTCTGGGAATTTACTGTGAACATGCACACAAGAGTTGGAATAATGCCCTGCTGAATATAAGGAAGAGGGTACAGTGTTGTCAATGGTTATTGATAATAAATACCACCTTTCCAGTCAGTGGGATATCATTAACAATGAAAGCTGAGAAGGTCAAACCGATGACCTACATTATATATAATACTCAAGTTCTGTAGCTGCATCATTAAGGGGGGGATAATATTATACAATGTGGACCATTGTAAATTCCCGGCACACAAGTTAGCTAGCCCTCTGGGGATAATTAAACTATGTATGACATTGTTGGACTGTGATAAAATTAAAAAAATCATTTTTTCAATAACAATGATATAGATTTTTTAGATAAAGATAATCAAAGTTGTATTCATACAAATTTTACTTTCTTACATCCAAAATAACACAAGAAAAGTATGTCAGTGTCTAGAAATCAATGGTATCCTATTCCATTTGTAAGCTTTAAAAGGATCAGGATTGCTTTCTTTAACTGAAATCTGTAGGTTTCTTATCTGATTTGCTTTTGCATAAGGAATCCAAGTTCAGTTTTCAATGTGAAGATAACAGGTTTATGTATTAGTTCCTATTTGATTTCGTGTAAAGGCAAACAGGAAAAAAAGAACTTTTGTGTTAAGAATACATTACCAGTTCCTGGGGAACAGATTGGAGCCTTTGGACTGTTTTGAATACTAAGTGTGTGGAATTGATTTAAGCTGTAATTGTACACTACAAGTTCATTAATAATGATTCAGCATGCCACACTTAACCAAATTTCCATTTCACCAGAGTTAATTTCTTAGAGGATGCTTCAAATCAATTATCTCATTTTGGTTTAGATTTTTAAAGTCTGCAAACAGGAAAACCCTGTGTTTTACATCTCTTTGGCTAGATATATGTATAGCTAATAAATGTATATATTGCAGACAAATTGGAGATTGCATTGTAGATGGTGAAAATAAAAAAACGGTCTGTTGAAGTCTATGAGCCAAAGGCTTGTGAGAGGAGAACTTTGGCAAAGCAATGATCTGTCAGTCTGACCATTCCTGGGAGTTCAGAATCTCATTGTCACAGCATACAAAAAGTACCATCCATATTTCATTGTACAGAAATCCTAGCGTAGTCTCATCACAGTCATATCTTATCTAATTTGATAAGACAATCCATATTCATTTAAGCATTTTGTTTTGAATCTCTACTGCTAAAGCGTAGTAGACTTGAAACAAATACAGGTACAATGCAATTCCTTGGCACATGATTTTCTGATGGCTATTAATCAGATATCTCAGGGGAACAACTGTAAGTCTTTCTGGATGTTAAATTCTCTTCACCACTTTAGTTAAGTCTCTGAGTAGATGATATCAAATCTTGTAGACTTTGCTCTTATATACATTGCTGGCAACAGATCTGAAGGAATGTGAGACAAAGAATGTATGGAAGGAAAAACAAGCACCAGAAGTATGCTTTATATTGCCTGCTGTGAATTTATATACAACTACCTTGCGATGCAATCTTTTTACTCCACCACAATTTACAGATAACTTATGATTTGTTTTGTTGTTTTGTTTTGAGCTCATCTGCCCATGGCAAATGAGCCAGTTAATGCTGCTGTGCAGTGTTTGTCATCCATCACCAACTTTTCCTTTCAGACAACTTCTGCTCAATAATCAAAAGGCCCAGCTACCTGATATCGTAGTAGGATAAAAGTGTAAGGTTATTAAGTTTGTTCAAATGGATGACCTTGACCCACCTTTAAGGCCACAAGGACCAAATGTGATAATCTTTAAACAGCTTCTCAATAACTAAGAGCTCCAAGGTCATGATATTAGGTCAGTATCATGCGACATAAAAGTTCCAAGTTTACTCAGATGAATTACCTTTTTCGATTTTCAATTACTTTCAATGGCAACAGAGTCAGATATGTTGAAATTGTTTTTAAACATCATATTATTTTCTTTCAAATTTTTTTATAACCAAAATGTTCAGGGTCCTTACATTGGTTCAGTAGCATGCTGAGATGAAAGGATATCAAGTGTGGTCCCTCAAAGATTCAAGGATACCAGAGTTAACTATGCTGAAATCTTTGAATAACTTTTCTCAATAAGCAAAAAGATTAGAATATTGATCCAGTGGCATGCTGGGCTGCCAATTACAAGTTCATTCAAATGAAATAACCAATTGACCAACTTATAAGCTGACAGAGATCAAATGTGTGTAATTTAAATCTTCTAAAGGCTTATTGCAACCATTAATAGACCATCAGTAGACAGGTATTATGGTGAAATGAAGTTCTTTACCAGGTTTATTAAAATAAGGTAGAGTGGTAGTATCATCTAATACAAAAATCAATGGTTTACAATGCTTATAGTGACCGACTGAATTAAAATTTGTCTACAGTTTGTTTAAAACCTGGTCACAGATGTGCAAATCACAAATAGTTTGGATTGTGAAAAAATGATGTAATGATTTTAAAAAAATTTATAAAGGCCATGAAATGAAGCTGCAAAAGTTTATCAAGATATTATTTGGTTACCGTATCTAACGTACAAACAGTTATTTCCATTGTATTTTCAGAGTCTGTATAATACTTACTTAATGTTTCAGCTGCTGCCAATAAGTTGAAGTTGTTGCTGAGTTTTGCTGTTGGTGGTCTGTTGGGGGATGTGTTTCTCCATCTGTTACCTGAGGCTTGGGAACATTTAAACAAAGGTATTATTGCAAGTGCAAAATGTCCTCAATGACTTTAAGAGAGTAGGGTTGTTAATATGATGTACATATTTGCTAAATCCTGTACAACAGTACTGAAAACAAACTTTGGGGGCCTTGTATTAATGATGTTAAATATATCACCATGGAAAGAAACTATAGCGTTGTTTTTGTCAATTAATATATGATCTTGATGAACTTGACAGAAATATTATGGTGAAATCTTAGGATTCCATTTGAAATCTATCATCAGAAATCCATCAAGACATGATTTTCATACTATCACATATGTAGATATTGACAATATTTCATAATCATTTCAATGACCAGCTATTAACTGGTTTAACAGTTTGATGTTAAGAAATTCAATGCTTTCTTAATTATCACTAAGTTTGTTTTAAAACTTAATCAGAGCCCTGTGAATAAGTCAATTATTTACCATCCTATTAATTACAATATTACAGTTTTACTTAGAGATGTGGTCTTGACTTTGAAAATACCTTGAATACACAACCATGTCAGACCAGTCCATTTCTCAACATTTGTGAGGTGTTTAAAACTTTAAAAAAATGAATCTTTTTTCTTGATTTGGTAATGTAAAAAATTCAGTGAGATACTTCATAACTTGAATATCATTTTGTGAAGTACTGCAATGTATTTTACAAAATAATTAGTATATTTTCGAGTAGGAATAGATAAATTTGCTTTCACTAAATTTTCTAAAAAACTAAAAACAGTATAGATTTTTTCAGAAAAGACAATGTATATGCACAGATTTTGAATATATTTAAATTTAGTATGGTAATGGTTAAGATTATGCTGCCTGGCTTGCTAAACAACAGAAACTGTTGTTGATATACATTATCGATTTGTCACCAGTTTGATATCCTTTTTAGTGGATAAATAGCATGATATTTGTAACATTATACACTGCCAAATTAATCAATTATTGTGTTAGTGTAGCAGTCATGGAAGCAAAGCAATCTGGTGGTGATCCATTGATGTCAGATTGATACACCTACCTGATTAATCAGCTTTGTAAAACATACTGTTTAAGGGAAAACATTCTGAAAACATTGTCACACTATTTTCTACCTTAGTGTACATATAATTATAGCACTGCTAAAAGGAATTGTCTTTTCCTTACCATCTCATACACTTTGTACGTTAGTGCTAGTATGCTACTCCCTGATCATTGTCTGACGAAGGTGAAATTATAGCCATGGAACATAACACTTAAATCTTCTACTATTTACATTAGGAGACTTCTATTTTACTGAATTACCAAACTGAAGAAAATTTGATGTTGAAATTGAAACATATTTCATGTTTAAGACTTGTCAAAAATAAACAGGTTTCTACATGACAACAAAAAAAAGAAAAAATAACTGTTAATGTTTCATCTCAAACCTTTTTTTTTTTTTTGTCATTTTAGTGCAAATGGAAATTGAGCCAAATTACACAGGTTTTATTGATTACATTATCACTATTCATATATACCTGTATTATTGTTTTTAATTGGTCCCTGTCTCTAGAATATTTGATTAACAAAATATAAATCAGTCTTTTAGTTCTGAATTCTTACCTCTTATTCTAGAGTTTCATAGAAAGGGGAGATAAGTTAGTAAACAAGTGCAGTGAGGCTGTTAGCCAGTCTTTTGTTGTCTTTGCATCTTCTTTTTTCTGATTTTACTTTTGAGGCTCCAAGCATCACAGATATTTTCTTGAACAAAGAAACAACTCTATGATGCAGCTTAAATCATTATTTGGCTCTACTGTTTCTAAGTAAATCTGAATTTGAATTTAAAGATGCTATTCACCTCTGTGTGTTTTATCTAATTCCCCATAATACTTAATGCTGTTCAAGAAAACATTTCTTTGTACTGATTAAGCCTATTATGTTTGAGAACTGAGGGAGGTGATCTCCACACTGGTAACGATTTCCAGCTGACAAACAGATTATGCTTCACCATAACATGCCTGGTCAATTTTGGTGAGAAAAACGCTATGATATTGGTCTTCGTGAAGAGTTTTCAAAGGGAGGTAATCTGATAATAGCTACACATTTTTGTCTCCACCACAGGGCAACACAATCATGATGGTCATATGAAGGTGGGCCTCTGGGTCCTGGGAGGTATTATCTCATTTCTTCTCATTGAGAAAATATTTGCAAAGGAAGGAGAATTTGATCATGTAAGTTTTTGCTGATTTTGTTTTGTAATATGTTGCTGAATAATGGGAGAATTTGATATATGTTGACAGAGATAATGTTTGGTGTCAGGGGCTGATTATAGTGTAGATCCAATTAAAGGTGCAAGCCCCAGTTTCAAGGGCACCAATTTCTGGATTCAAGATTAAATATAAAGCCTTTGTGGGAAAGAAATGACATAAAATTGACAAGACATAGGGGAAAATATTTGAATTCATCAGGATTTTACAAGGCTTTATTATCAGTGACATCAGACAATTGTCACAATTTGATACCTTTCTAAATATGTCTTAATCTCAAAATTATATCCAAGATAATCTTATTGTTAAACCCACAGCAGCCTGCTTCCAAATAGTCAATTTTCAAGAAAGTAATTTATGTGATGTGATCTGAGATTCTGTAGATACAAGATTTAAAGATATGGGTTCAATATTATAGGGTTTCCTTATGGAATGTTAAAGTTTACATAGAAACAGATTGATATGTATTGTAAGTCTGCTACGACTGTCAAAAGGATATAGACAATTTAGGAGTCTCATGATATATTTTGTGATTCAGACTTATATATACTTTTACAGAACAGCAATATTGATGTGATTTCTTCTCTTTTTTTTTCTCACAGATAGGAGATGAATGTGAGGTTGAAACAAATTCAACATTGCAGAAGTCAGAAAATATACAGCCAAGGGGAAACAATTGTCAAATTTCAGACAACAATAAAAAAACAGAAATCTCTGAGAAACCTTGTAATAAAGCATCAGAGACAATAAAAGTAAGACATCCTTTACAACAGAATTATTATAGTCCATCCATTAATAGTATTGCTCTGGGAAAATATTTCAGTCAAGCATACACATTATATGAAAATATTTGCTCAGGATTTTGATTTCTCTTAAATTCATTAACTTTGTTTGTGATGCAGGTTTTACTGTGATTATTATCAGAATGATTTGCTTTATTTATTTCAGATCAGCGGATATTTAAATTTACTAGCTAATGTGATAGACAATTTCACACATGGTCTGGCTATTGGGGGAAGTTTCGTTGTCAGTAATAAGGTGAGCTACGCTGTTCAGGATAATGGTTCACAAATAGGATTGTAAAGTAATTATTGTAATATTGATAAAGAAAATTAAATGAAACCAAATGATTTATACAAAAATTCAGAAATCTCCATACAGTCTTTTCTGACAATCAAAAATACCAAAAGCAGTTATAATTGTTCATATGAAGTCTTCTTAGAGGTAATTTTAGCAGATTTTAACAAGCATGCTTTTCTTAATGTTTTAAATTTTGTGTTTCAAACTTTATGGTCATATTCCATATACAGAGAAAATGTCAAAATTCATATTCTTACTTGCAAATCAAATTTCACAATATTTTAAAAGAATGTATATGAATTGTAGTCTTGATGAAGCCCAGCCCAGGGAAAAGACCAAGAGGACAATTGAGTTTCTAATCAGATAAAATCTATCATCTTAGCTTGTTGTGATCCACAACCTTCTTATATTTACTGCATTGTAGATGGGAGAGTAGAAGCAGAATATATTAGGAGCATTTCCCATTTGCCTTGAGTTTCTGAACTTTCATTTTTCTCCCATAAATAGTATGTCCACTGTAAAGGTTTTCTTGATACCTAATTTCCCTTTTATAATAGGAAAAGTAAATAAATGTGGTTTACTTACATTATTGATGAGATATGTTTTAAGTATTTAAAAAAAGAAAAAAATCATGAAAAAAAATTATTATACTGTACAAAATCACTTCTGAGACACTTTGTCTGGATTTTGGGCAATGTCGACTATGATAGTTTGTATTATACCTGGTAATCATTTTCAAAAGCATAATTTTGTAAAGACCTGATTTGAACAGGTTCAACAATATTTGTAAATAAGTAAATTGTTCAATCATTCTTGTGATTTTTTAATCCTTCTTGTGTTAGTTTTGCATATCAGATAATCTTGACAACCCCCCCCCCCCCACCCCTCTGACCCCCACCCCCACCCCCACTTTGAGCCTTGACCCTTTGAATTTCTGTAGAAAAACTCTGAACACTGTGTTTTTACAGTACCTCATCTTTTTTCCTATACATGGGCTAAAACTCTGAACATTGTGTTTTTACAGTACCTCATCTTTTTTCCTATACATGGGCTAAAACTCTGAACATTGTGTTTTTACAGTACCTCATCTTTTTTCCTATACATGGGCTAAAACTCTGAACATTGTGTTTTTACAGTACCTCATCTTTTTTCCTATACATGGGCTAAAACTCTGAACATTGTGTTTTTACAGTACCTCATCTTTTTTCCTATACATGGGCTATCTGTTACAGGTTGGTGCCATTACTACATTTGCCATACTTTTACACGAAGTTCCGCATGAAATAGGAGACTTTGCTATATTACTTCGCTCTGGATTTGATCGATGGAAAGCTGCCAAAGCACAGGTAGACTTCACTGTACATACAAAATTGCTTCAGGATTATAATTTATACTTATGGTGACTATCAGAAAGCAAAAGGAATGTAAATATCTATTTCATTTGTATTATGTCAAATATCTTTTCATGAAATATATTTCCATTTAAATAAAATTGCTTTAGACAGCTTTAATGGATTGTTTATTACAAAGGAGAACAAAACATATCATAAACTACATTTATATTCTACAACTTTCTATGACGTTGTAACTTGAGACTGTTTTGATTTTCTACTGTAACTATATTGTACAGTAAACTAATAGTACATAGTGAACTGTTTAGATCCTGACAGCGTCTGGTGTACTAGTAGGAAGTCTAACCGCCCTGACAGCAGAATCAGCCCAGGAAGCAGGTAGGTACTATCTTTAACTTCCGAAGCTGTTGTGATTGATACTCTGTACCTGATCCATAACTTCAATAACATTAAAATTGGTGTATACTACAATCAGAATGGTGTCCAATCATCTGTAGACAAAAGTTTAATATATCTCATTGTCACACTCTTTTTTCAAGTTTTTGATGATTTTTGATTAATCTTGTCTCTGTGTCTCTGTATAACATTTACATAAGCTGATTAAGTGCTTCAGCAGTAGCATACATATCTCTCACCTAGGCGGCCAGAGTTTGATTTCTTGATGTTTAAAGGTTTATGGGAGTTACCTCCTGAATTACATTCTCCAGTTTCCTACAATGGACAAAAATATAACTTGCTTCCAATTGTATAGAAATAGATATAAAAGTTATAATACCTACACTGCAGGGTTCATATACCTCTCTTTAGTTATACCATTGTTATGATTTGTAGAAAGTAAACAACTTGATAAATGTTATATTTGTATCATAGGTGAGCGTACTGCCTGGATTTTACCATTCACATCTGGGGGCTTTATATACATAGCACTGGTAACAGTGGTACCAGATCTGCTGGAGGAAAAACACGGCAGGTAGGTGATACAGGTTATTTTATTTCAGGATTTGGTCACATTCAGATCTTTTACTTGAGTATCTGCTTTTACCAAACTGTTACACCAACAGGAATTGAAAGGAATCTTTCAGGTTTTATAATCTTGATTGGTTTCTACATGATTGCTTCAAACATGATTGAATGTTCATTTGTATATGATCATTGAGGTTATCAATGTACATGTAGTTTGTATAAGATTTCCCCATGTAGTTATTGGTGAATTTTTTCTTCCCATACTAAAAATTGTTATCATATAGTAGAAATAAAAGTCAACCAATGGTGACGTCTCTGAACATGATGTGAACTTTCCAAAAATACTTACATGAAGTTGTGTTTTACTTTATCAGAACATTAATAAGAAACATGATTTAAATGATTAGAGTTTTTCTTTGTGTTTCAGAGAATCTGTGAAGCAGGTTATATGTTTGTGTGCTGGGATTTGTTCTATGGCCCTTGTGTCCCTAATCCATTGATTAAATCCAGGGAAGATGCTACCATTGACTTAAAGCCAAAGTCAAAATCAAGGACTTCAACAGCTAGCTGAAGGTCAAATCATTATGTCCCACCTGTAGTGAAATATGTGGTATCAGATCAGTGAGGTGACAAATTGTTTCACTTGTGGCCAGCACCGTCCAATGATGGTTTAATCTGTCAATTTGAGGCGATCTTATCATAAATCATCATTAAACATGGTCAACATTAATTTGTGATATTTTTCCTTGAACATTTATCTACTCTCATCGATAAAAGGTCCAGATTGTCAAGTGACATCAACACTGAAAGATGAAAGATATTTATGAGCATCAATATAAGGTCAAGGTCCTCCAGTGATGTCAACAAGGAATGTCAAGGTCATCTGTTAGCATCAATCATAGGTCAAAATCATCTGGCTTTATTCATCAACAAGCATCACGGGTAGTCAGATTTATTGCATTTGTGCCATAGTAATGCCAGCAAGATTAGATTAGTTGGTCACTGCTGTATTGATGTTAAGTCAGCTGTATTTTCTGTGAAAGTTCTTCTTTTCAGTGTTGATAATGTAAATATCAAAATATCTGTAATCATACTTAATTTAGTGAAGTCAAATTTTAGCATGTCATTATTTTTTTGGCATGTTAATGCAATAATGAATTAGTACATCCTTGATAGTTGCTGTATAAACAGTAACAGCAGTTAACACATTCATGTTTATTGTCTGCAGTAACATTACCGCTAAAATATTCATGTTTACATTATATGGTTCTGAGGAATGTACTTAACAACAATCATAAGGACACTCTTACAACAAATAGTATATACAGCATTATACAGTGGCAAACTTATGTATTATTAGATAATGGAGAAATGATAACACTTGTTGGTGTTCTAGAACAACATTATTCAGGAAGTTGTGTGTCATAGGGCAGGTCCCTAAAGTCAAGCTGTCAATTTTAAAACTTTGATGCTTTCTAAACTGTCACTTCAGTTCTTGTATCAAATCTGATGCCGGCTCATCTAATGTACACAATGATTTTGATGGAAATTTACCCTTGTTTTGGAGTTGAAACAGATTTACCAACTAAAGTGGAAATGATACTTTTCCTTTTTGATATTATTGATTTCAAATCATTGATTTTTTTTTTAACAACAACTATTTTTTGTAATGTGATTGATGATGGACGTTGTGTGCCATTACAATATTAGTGAACTTTTTTATAATCTATCAGTAACAGTCGGCTTCTTGATTACAACAATTGACAGCTTGTTTAGTTTGTTTTAATATAGAGTGTTTCCAGTATTCTGCTATTCATTTAAGGTAAGTGTTGTTACACACCTTATTAAGTCAGCTGTTCAGAATAGATTGTATCAATCAAGTATAACAACTTTATTTGGGGGAAATGTGAAGGTGAAGGAAAGAAATTTAACCTTGGAAGAAATAGTTCCTGGATTGGACATTTCTCAAATTGTTTATATGTGTAAAACAAAATCAAAAATTGTCAAAAGAGTGTTTACTCATTTCATGTTTATTTTTTTAATGTAACATTTAAATCAAGTCTGCACTATTGCATTTTGTATTAATTTATCTACCCTGTCTATCAGTTAACATTATCAGGTGCTTCCATAGGTGTTTCCATCAGAGTGATGCAATATGTGTTCCCTTTTATTGAATTGGGTCAGCTGAGCAAAGCCAAGTTGCTTTTTCTGATCCTTCCTCTGTCATCGGTTGTCATCCCTTTTTGAAAGCTGATGCAGTGACTTAAACAAAATTTTGCAGAAAGGCAGTGATAAATTATAGAAAATTGGCTGATACATGTAGTTCAAAAATCTCCAGATTGAGATATTGTAGAATCAAAACTCAATAACCTTTTTAGTTATATTTGTTTATTTTCAGTGAGATTTAATTCAGTTTTAATCAGAATGATTGTTATCAGATAGCAGTTTGAGGATATGAAAGAAAGAGATGTAAAACCCATCTCTAAGGCCAGAAGGGTTTGGCCAAAGGGGAAAATTTGATTATATTTCAAAATTTTCTTTTCCAGAGCCAGATTTAGATTAATAATATTTTCTATGGATGGAAAGGTCAAAAGATGATTTATCAAATTATAAAGTTAGTAAAACAGGGTACTCCATTTTCTCGTAGGGAGAGGATCAATTTTACTGTAGTTTATAAAGGAATATATAGGAAAAGAACTTTTTCAGTATATATGATTTTTTTTGTTTCACTTATATTGTCTTCAGATCCCGGGTTGCAATGAAAGCAACTATGATTATTAGGACTCGGGTGAGGTTTAAGGTTTGTAGGCCTCTTGTTATTTATTGTATTCCTCTGACAGTCTATACTTCAGAAGATTTTCTACCTTCATCTCATATCATCTAACTATACATTTAGCATTTGTCTTGCTAGAAGCCTGTTAATAGACCCACTTATATGTTTTATAGTTTCATTAACAAATATTATTACAAAATTTTCTCTGATAGGCCAATTCACCACCTTTTGCCTTTGCATCAAAGACTGCCTGTTCAATTAGAATATTGCTAAATAATAAATATAGATGTGTTTACATGGATATAGGCCTTTTTCCTAAACGTTTTTTTATTGAATATAAAGGTGCATAGAAAAAAAAATTGTGATTGATCTGATATAAGTCTTTGTCTTCCTTATATACCAAATATCATATTTTATTGAACTGATATCTTAAGTATCTTGAAACACATGGTTTTATATTCAAAAATCTGTTTACAAAATTATTCAACTATAATATCGAATAGGTTTGTTATACAACATAATTATTGATATGTAACTTGGTGCATTGTTGTCTTTGTTAAGGTAGTGTAGGATTATGATAAAGGGAGATAATTTGATGTATCATAGTGTGATTTAGTGTTGAAAGTCAGGGTGATATTAACAGTTCACGATACATAGCTGATGGTGCTAAAGGGTTGTGCAATCATCTTTATAATTACAATATAATTTACAAATACAATGTACATATATTTTGAAATTTTGTATGGAATTTTGTTAGGAAATTATTAAAAAATGTAGACCATATATTAAGATTATATACAATATCATTAGGTATCACCCAAGATAATATTTTGTAACAAAATAGATATGCTTATACATGCAATATCAATTATTTTTCAGTATTTTGCTTGTCATGTTTTTTTAATACAAGTAGAAGTTTGAGAAAACCTTGGAAATTGCCATTTCACTAACATATCTTCTCCAACTAGATAAACTTCAAAAGTTGGACACTTGTAAAAAGGATGCATTGTATATAGATAGCACAGAAGAGTTGAGGTCATGACTGAATTCTTCTAAAACCAATCTACACATGTACTTAGGTAGCTTTATTGTTGTTGTTGCTGTTCAGCTGTTTAATCATTTCAAATATAATTATAAAAGTTGTTGGTTTGGAAGTTTGTAACTCCCTGTGAGAAAATACTCTCTTTGAAATTCAACCATAGGATATTGTTGTATTAATTTGCAGATTTGTCTAAGTTATGGCTTAAAATCTCACCTAAAGATATTAACAAACTTACTCTGTATCAGGATATTTTCCAACAGATCCACTACATATGATAATTGTAGGTCAAGATAAAAATCAACAGTGAACAGATGTGCACTTTCTGGTGAAACTAAATATTTTACAGGTTTACAGTATTTTTTACAAAAGTATTACTGGAGTGCTTTTTGAAGTATTACTTCAACAGCAGTTATTTGACTCTATGCAGATAAATCTTTTGACAGGTTACTGCCACCGAGTCCACAGGTTTATTTTGCACTAAGATTTATATTCAAGTAGGTTGATTATATCTGGTCATTTACCATCTATTGTAATGGCATGCATTTCATTTGACCAAATTGCCAAAATTATGAGGTATATTTTAGAACAGTTTTGTGCCTGAGAATTTGATCAAATGTGTCCTAAATCAAATATTTCTGAGTGCTAGGAAAACATTGTTATGTCACTGACAGGGTACAGTTCCTCATCATATTTTGATAAAAAGCTACCTGTTTTGAAATCAAAATCTTTAATTGCTTTGCAGTATAGATTTCAAAAGGGTGAAGTATAAAACAGGTTGTATATGTTAAGTTTTAATTCTTTTAATTAACTATGACATCAGTTTATAATGTTCCTAATTTCTCCTACTTATTTTTTAATAAATTAGATATAACTTGGGCTAGTAAGGGCACAGCACTGTGTAAATTTAATCTTGTTACTATTGTGTTACATGGGTTATAGTACTACTATAATTATCCATTGTAGTTATATACAGTAACATGTCCAGCAACTGCTATTTGAATGTTGTGTAGTAATCCCAACCCCGGTTTTGAGCCAGTAATGTATTGACTTGCTGGTCTTACTGCAGGATATGGTAAATTTCTAATAGAACCAATTTGACCAGTTTATAATACATGTGGTAATGTTGATTCTTGTTTATTTTTCTTGTTGATTAAATTGTTTATTGTCTATGGTGTGCATGATCACATATTTAAAGCCAGCATTTTATATTTACAAAAGTATTTGTTTGACAGAAGAATTTTTCTGTGACTGGAATGTAACAGGTAGTACTGCCTTCTGTTTTCATGATATGTGACATCAGATATGTTATTTCCTTAAATGATTGTATAATAATGTTACAGTATACTGCTCATACATTACATCTTGATATCACAATGTAAAACATCATAATATTTTTTTGTTTGATATTTATGGGTACAAATGTTCTATTTGTCTGTCAGTGTGTGGTTGTTTAAGATTGTGATAAAGCATTATTAATTTTTATTAGGTAGTGAATGCTAGCTTCACATTGTCATGTTTTGTTATCTGTCTCAAATTCAATCATTTAGACGTTTTGGGGGGGATTTTGGGTTTTTGTTTTTAAACCTTTTTTTTCTTTTGTTTCTGTTTTGCAATCACATTGAACCACTCTGTATCCAGCGTTATAATTTTAGATGGCAAAGAATTGTAATGAGACATCAAGACTATGTCAATTTTAGGTATGGAGGTCAAATTCCTTTGTAACAATTGATTCATAGAAATTAATCCATGTCAGGTAAAGGCATTGAGGTCATGTGACTTTTGCAACTACTGACATCTGATAAATGTCATAGAGTAACATTAATTGGTGTCGGGTGATGTGGTCATGTGACTTTTGTAACTGCTGATATATAATAAATGTTACAGAGGTTAATTCATGTCAGGTAAAGGAAATTTGGTCATGTGACTTTTGTAACTACTGATACATGATAAAAGTCACAGAAGTTAATTCATGTCAGGTAAAGGAAATTTGGTCATGTGACTTTTGTAACTACTGATACATGATAAAAGTCACAGAAGTTAATTCATGTCAGGTAAAGGAAATTTGGTCATGTGACTTTTGTAACTACTGATACATGATAAAAGTCACAGAAGTTAATTCATGTCAGGTAAAGGAAATTTGGTCATGTGACTTTTGTAACTACTGATACATGATAAAAGTCACAGAAGTTAATTCATGTCAGGTAAAGGAAATTTGGTCATGTGACTTTTGTAACTACTGATACATGATAAAAGTCACAGAAGTTAATTCATGTCAGGTAAAGGAAATTTGGTCATGTGACTTTTGTAACTACTGATATATGATAAATGTTACAGAAGTTAATTTATGTCACCGCCTCACTTTGCTGGAACACTGGGATTTGTCAGCCAGGTAATGCCTAGCAGTAAAAAGATTCCTGGTGATGCAAACCTGTAACCAACCAAACTACCAAATAAGTTGTAAATGTAACAGTTTATTTTGTTTTGAGCGTCAGGTTAAAGCATGATATTGTTAAGTGTGATAGGAGATGTGTCCTGTGGTAACTGTAGATTTCTTTAGAGTCTATGAAGATTTATGTAAGATAATATTTTTTTTGGTCACAGCTAAGCAAAGCCTACAATGTGATACAGTTGTTAAACTTTATAGCATACTTGGTTATAGAAGTATGCTTTTATTTTAGTAGCTATAGACAGGTTAAAAGCAAATTTATGAAAACTTGTTAATAAAGAGAATATTTCTGGAATCAAATGTTTTCCTTCTTATTTTCGCTTTTCCCTCAGAACTGATCTTAAGTCCAGAAATTGACATTATTTGACTTGACCAGAAGTAAAGGAACATGTACTCTTTGACAAAACACATTGTTGATGCCAAAATCTGCCTACATTAGTATTATTGTTGAACTTCCTAGAAAACATAAACTACCACAAGGTAGTGTTAAGTGTGACATAATCATGAATCATGAGCATTCTGGTGTCATATGAGACATAATTTAATTGTCAATTACTATTTAAGTGAGTCTACATCACGTGTCACACATGAGAGTGCCAGCATATGCAACAGACTGATGACAACTGCTTGACAGACTTTTAAGGATCCCTAGAGTTATACAATACTCCCCCCTTATGAGCTTTTAAAAAATTGTCTTAATGGGAGTGTTTGACTAGGGACGTGTATGACAGTCTGTCATATACGTCCCTGGTTTGACTGAAACCATCTGCTTCTACGAGTGCCAAGCTCTCACCTCCTTGTCATTATTCATATTTTATTACCAGAACAGTGAAAAGATTTTTTTTTCCTATTTCTTTGTGTTCGTGAATACAGGCAATACATGTTCATATCTTAAAACAATTATGAAAATAAACAGAATCACATCCATAGAGGGAAGAAACTATAGACACCCACACTTTTCATCCATGTGAGGGTGAAGAGAAAGCAACTTGAAAGTTCAAGAAGAAACAGTGTTGTCAAAGGAACAAATGGAAAGATCAAGGAATTAACTCTTTATGAAATGTGGTTATCTGAATACACGCCCACAAGTCACTTCAAATTGTATAAAATTGATAGAATTAAAAGACTGCAATACATCAGTCATTGGAGAAACCTGTACAATGTATATGGATGTGTTTGGGGCCGACTGGATGTACATGTAGTAGGAAAGAAATCTATGAGATTTGAAAAGTAAGCTGGAGTCCTTGTTCAGTGAACCATTGGCAAGCGTAATTGCAAACTTGTGGATAAGATTAATTCGTTTAACTGACAAGTAAGTAATTTTCAAGCTATTGGATATCCAATAATGTATTGATAACATCACCAAATAAAGAGGAGGGAACCCATTGATAGACAGCTGTCAGATATGTTTTATTAAAGTGTAGAAGTTGAGAATACAAGTCGCATTTCTGGACACGGCTAGTCGAAATTTCTCTTCTTTCATGCGGTAGAGTGTCTGGCTAGAGACCAAATGATCGGTAGTTCAAACCCCTGTGGTGACGGTATTTTCATTACTAATTTCCTATTACAAAAGAAGTACAAATGTCACTGAAAAGATTGGCTTTAAGACTGCTTTCTATGTCAGACATTTGTTATCAATGGAAGCCACAGTTTGGGTTATTTTGAAACCTACTTATAATATTTCATATTTACGTTCAAAGTCTGTTTTATTTTTAGCAATTATTAGCAAGTGAGACCAAAACATATTCGCTACATATTTTATTTCAATTTTCATTTATTTCAAAATTTATAACAGAAAATTTAATCTTTCTTTCGTAGCATCACATGTTTAGAAATTTCGACGAAAATTGCTATTTTTGTATCCGGAAAATATATCCCTGTCGTCCCCGATATTAGTTTACAGTTAATGCTTCCGCATACATCGTTGGGCTGGTAAACAAATGTCAAATATGTTCAGTGACAAAATATTAGAAGCAGTCTCTTTTCATTCATCATGGAAGAGGGAAAGGTAAAATTTCACAGACTTTGTTCGTCAATTATCCTAAATCAATAACTCTGGGTTTTAAATATGTGATTTGCTGCATGACATTTATTCCGTTCATGACCACTTTATATCGATACAGATCAGACACCAACCCGCATATGGGTATAGTCCTGCATTTGAGGGATAGTTAATGCTTTGAGTTATCAATTAGTTACACAAATGCGGGTTCGTTTTGAAATAGAAACTCATAACGTTCTTTTGAAAATCTTAACTACCCAAATCACACACCAGATTGCACAATAATAGCTTAAAAATCACATTCTTTCTAATATGAAACAATACGCATTGACAATAAGTTTTATGTTGTCAAGATAATATTTAAATCATAAAGTTTCTTTGTCATATGTACCTATGTGGATATGTATTTTTGAAAGAATTTTGTTGAGATGTATACTTATTGATGAGCTACATATGCATATTGGCAAATTAACAGAAGGAACGACTACATACTCTATCAATAACCAATTGCAAATACACACTAATACGGAAAGTGAAAAGGGTAAGACATACTTATGGATTCTAATCTCACCTTTTAAGACTACATACGTGTAATTGAGAGTGCCAACAAAGCAAAATCCATGCTTAGGAGAACTTGAAACTATATGGATGAAAAGACTTTCATGCCATTACAAAATATTAGTGTGCACTCATCTAAATTTTGTCAGGTCTGTCTGGTTGCCTTATAGAACTAAGGATATTGTAAAGGTGGAGGGAGTGTAGAGTAGGGGATGCAGGATATTACATTTGAAGAAAGACAGAAGTTAGGGTTACCCACATTAGCTTCCTGCTGCTTGAGAGGGGATGCTTGAAACCTACAAGATTGTAAATGGTGTATACAGCAGAAACACTAATAATATCCTCAAATCTTGGAATAGTGTCACAGTCAGGAACAGCTCCTTAGAAAAATATTTCCAAAGGGGGCAAAAACAAGTATAAGGCACAACTTTTTCTCTTTGAGAATGTAGAGAATATAGAATAATATTCTAGAAAACATAGTCATGGGACCAAACACCAATACTTTCAAGAACAGACTTGGCAAGGCATTGAAAATCACGAACTGCTTTACAAGTATAGAGTAGAAATCAAAACAGAGACATCAGGAAGTGACAGACCTGCCTTGGAAGCAAATATTGAGTCTGGTAAAGAGGAACTAACTATAAGTAACTTATAAGTATACTTTCACAAGTGAACAATGTGTTGTGATGGGTACATGCAAGAAGCCTTATTTACAACATATATTAATACAAAAGTAAAGTATAAATAAAATATTTGTTTTGGTTTTAAATGTTCAGATTTTAACTAGATGGTTTAACATTGAAGTTTTACAGTGTCTTTAAATCTCTTTACGAACTGTGTTGTATTTAGATCTCTAGCCAATGGTTCAATGCAAACAGATGACTTGGAGACATTTGAGAGGGCATCACAGTCTGTGAAAAGAAGAGATAGAGAAGTAAGCTGTATATTTATCTCAAGAAACAGAACTTTTACTCAGCAAATGATAATAATATATTGATGCATTATGTTAATGTTGTAATCAAATTGTTTCAAAGTCTCTTGGAAATAACATTTTACACTTACCTATTTTGAGTTCAAAGTTGAAAAAAGAACACTTAAAAAAAAATTGGTTCACACACTGAAAAATTTCTTAGTTAATTTCCCTGTTCTATAGGTACAGACTGACGATGATGGCCACCAGAAAACCAGGATGGCAGAGGACACTGTTGGACGACTTGGAGAGTTCTTATCCAACATAGAACCAGTCATTATCAGAGAACTTGACAGAAATTTAAAGAGTCATGCATTTGATGGTTTGTATATTGTTGAAAACACTCATTTCATCAAATTTCTCATGCTTTTATTGCAAACTTGTAACTCTCAATCGGCTTTACAGACTCAATATACAAGGCATATCACATAAACAAATGCAATATTTACAAAATGACAAATGTAATAGCTAAGTATGATATTTCTGGAATATGTTGTAGACTTCAATGTTGGCTGGGATGATGAGGTTGCCTCTGTCACTTGTGTCCATAAACTCACCAATCCTGAAATCAATGAGGATGTAAGTAAAGCCTATACATGGCATGTAATATCAAACTCAAGACTTGATAAACCTGTATATTTGACCTTTTCCTGTGTTACATAATGTAATGTGTTACTGTGTACAGGGAGATTTTTGCCTCGGGTTGTTTTCACCGTTTTATGTGTACCATTGTATGTGAATTCGCCTCATGTTCATTTCTCCCTCTGAGGATTATGGATAATGGGTTATATAAGTTTAACAATTTTTTCACCTTCATATTAAATTTGCCATCCCTGTTAATGGAAAAAGGCAAAAATGAAATGGGGATGAAAATTTCCTGGTATACAGTATTGGGGCTTGAACTGCATAACATTAAAAAACGTGTAAAAATTCATATTGCTATATAAATGGATGATGTAGTGAATGAACATTTGAGATCCAGTCTAGAGACAGTTGTAATTAAACACTCTTACCTTTACAGTTACATATCACAGGAATTACCTGGAACTCTACAGGTGCAGTCATTGCAGCATCGTATCCTTTTTTTAAATGGATTTTCCATCTTACTCATCTGTTCCATACTTTGTCCGATTGTCTGACATACCAGATAGAAATCTGTTCCATCAGTTGAAAATATCTGAAATATTTTATTAAGAAGGAAAAAAAGGAGGTTGTCTTTAGTCTGTCATAGAAGATTAGTACAGGCCGTAAAATCCTTTTCAATACTGCCGAGGTTGGTGTTTTACCAAAAGCTACATGGAAAAGAGATGTATTTTTTTTTGGTGAGTTTATTTGATTTACATTGTATCTGTATTGCCGTTTTACTCCATTCTTGAAAATAGCAAAAGATTGAATCTTTCGAAAGCATTGAAAATATATTAGTTATATACTTAAATAAGGTGTCTGTCTTTTCGTTCATTTTATTATAGTCAAGTTCTTGTATATACTGAAATAAGTTGTCTTGCTTTCTGTATGTTGGACTTTAGTCTAAATCTTTTATATTTGAAATAAGGTGTCTGTCTTTCTGTCTTTGGCTGTAATCATAACCTTTTCCAGACAGTTGATCAGCTGTTTTGATCCATAATTTTTATTGTATTGTAATATCCTTGATGTTACCAAGATATGGTCGTTATGATCATGAGGACTGGTGTACACATAAATCAGCATTGTGTACATGGAATTTGGGGAGAAGGAATATCAACGAGAACAAACCAGACACAGTCATTGACCTGTCCTCTTGTCTAACCTGTGTTGCCTTTCATCCGAAGAATCCTGCTATCATCGCAGGGGGCACATATGACGGTTGGTACCTTTATCAATGACACTGACCTACTCTGTTTCTTATGAAAAATCTGATATAGTATTATCCCCAGCAAAACATGTTTGTGAGAAATATTAATTTGGGCTCCATGCTTATGTCTTTCCATTCAATTCAACTTCACAAAACTTGCTGTAGATATTAAGTTAGTGCCCTCGTTGTTCAGTTTTCTATAGACAACGTTTCGTTTTGATACATTTTTTTTTGTTACCATGGAAACATTGTCAAAAAACACAAAACTAGTGTGAACTTTCATTTCCGGGTTACTTCTTCAAAACCACTCTGTTCAACTCCACAAAACTTTCTATATATATTAGGTAAGTGCCCTATTTGTGCCTTTTGCTATTAACAACATTTCATTTTTATATTTTTTCTCGTACCATGGAAACATAATTAAAAATTACAAAATTAGTGCTAACTTTCCTTTCAATGCTACAACTTTGAAACCACTCAACTCCATGCAACTTTCTTTATATATTAGGTTAGTGCCCTTGTTAAATTTTTTTCTATGACCATGGAAACAGATAACTCTCAGCACAAATTTCAGATTTTCTAGTCCATTGCTCTGAAACTGTTCAAGACAATTGCTCAAAACTTTTTACACTTATTAAGCTAGTAGTATCTTTTGCTATGGGGAAGTTCTCCATTGAAATACTTTTTCTCTTACCATGGAAACGGATAGGCCAAATAAAAAAGTTCCCTTTTTCACAGACCAGTTCTCTTAAACCGTTCAAGGTAATTACCCAGTACTCAAAACTCTGTGCAGGCATCAACCTAGTTCTCTAGTAGAAGTTCTCATTTTCAATATTTTGTATAGAACAATTAAAGATAACAAATAGAAATTAAACTTGAATAGAATTGTAATATTAACATATATATATTTATTCATAGGACTATGTCTTTCTTTTAAATAGGGGGCATCGAAGATAATGTCATGCTTTGGCTACTGGACACACATTACTCTCAAAATCAATTACTAAAATCTGTTACCAAATGGTGCTCAGTGTACCAATTTCAGTGCCTGAAACCCTATATTCATTGGTCATACTAACAGGATGTACAGTGTACCCAGTTCAGTGCCTGAAAACCCCTTAATAGCAGAATGATTGCCATTGTTAGAATTTTGTGTCCAATAAAGTTGATTTGGGGGATCATTTATCTGTTTCCCTGATACTCCAGTTACAGTATATGTCATATTTTGTGATCATTTTTCAGGGGAGGTTATGATGTGGGATTTGAGTCGAGAAGATGACATGTTGGTGACTAGCTCTGGTATAGGGGATGATGCCCACAGGGAGCCTGTGACTCGAGTGCATTGGATACCAGACAACACGACGTCCAAGAGAGACCGCTATCTGGTAAGTATTATTAATGGTTGTAGGATTATCACTGGTTGTACTCCAAAGAGGGACAACAAACAAGTAGGTATTATCATTGGTTTGTAGGATTATCAGTATAACTGGTGAGTATTGTCAATGGTTTGTAAGATTATCACTGGTTGCACTCCAAAGAGGGACAACAAACAGGTGGGTATTATCATTGGTTCGTGTGGTTATCACCAGCTTCACATTACATAAGTTGATGATTTAAGTCACACATTCTCAAAAGTCTGTTTATGTTTAACATTAATTGATGTACATATACATTATCAGTAAATATAGTTGAATGTGATGTTTCATACTGATATTCAGTATTCATATAATTATGATATATTCATATAAGTCCTATTCAGGTGATCAACCCATACCTATGTTAAATTCCAATTGAAATACTATTTAACTTGGTCACTTACATGTTAAGTTTATTGCAAATATCTTCACTACTTCAGCTTGTCAGTACAAGTGGTGATGGCAAAATATTGGTGTGGAAACATGACAGAAAGAAGGATGTCATCAAATTATCAGATGGGTATGTACAAGATGTACAGTATTGACTGCTAAGACACCTCCTATTAAGGCAATGGAGCACCTGTATAACATTGATATATCCTGAGTGTTTAGACACTCATCATGTCTGAGGTACTGATGAAGAAACTATTGAAGTTGTATACATCAGATATCTAAAGAGAGACACTATGTCATCATCAAAATTATTGAAAAATAAATATGCTGCCATTTACAGTGTACATGTTAAGATGGATGTTTACTGTACTCCAGGTTTATCCTCATGGCCCAGAACTTACCAAAGGAGTTGAAGAAGTCACGAGGGATACGAGGAGACAAGGAAGTTGGAGTGACATGTCTGTCCTACAACTGTGAGGATCGTGATGCCTTCCTCATTGGATCAGAACCTGGGGCAGTGTTCAGATGCTCTATGCAGTCACATGGGGAACCAGCTGGAAGTAAGTCTTATATTTATTTACTGTTTTAATACACATTTAATTGTATTTCTATCAAAGTACATGGCAAATTAAGTTCATTTTTAGAGTTAATGTGTTTATTTTTTAGCTTAAATTGCCTGAAGGGCCGGGTGAGCTATAGGGATACTACAGCATCCAGTGATTGTCTATCGGTTGTCAACTTTTCCTATAAATCTCAACTTGTTAAGAATGACTTAGCAGATTTTAACCAAATTAAGTCTGAATCATCCTTGTGGGAAAAGGAAATAATTTTGCTTAGACAGTGGGTCTGGGCACCTCAGGCCTGAGGGTCAGGGACATTGGGGAAAATCTATTTCTTACACGATGTCGCCAAAATTTGGTCTGAAGAATGCTTGAGTGAAAGGAAAACAGATTTGTAAAAATAGTGCGTCTGACCCCCATCTAAATCACTACTAGTCATGAATAACTGAGTTTATTTCAACAAAATTTGATCTGAAGCATTCTTGGATGAAGAGGAATTGAGTTTGTATAGATTGTGGATTCCTATCAGATAGAGGAAAAGAGCAAATTCTTTAAGATTCTTCTCCTGTTGGAATCAATGGATTTTGCCAAAATTTGGTCTGAAGCATTCTTTGGTGAAGTGGTGAAGAGGAATCAATTTTCTATGCAGTGGGTTTCATCCTCCTGGAGCAGGAGAGGTGGGATCCATTATTGGAAATATAGCAAACTCTTTAAAATTCTTCTTCCTTTGAAATGATTCATCAGTTTTGTCCAGATTTGAACTCAAGCATTCTTTGTGAAGAGAACTTAATTTTGTACAAACAATGCTTCTAACACCCTTGGAGAGGAAGGGCAGGACCCGCAGGTAAATACATGTAGATACAAGTGTTTTGAATACTTTTACTTAGTTTAGACTGATCATTTTCAGCAAACAAAACATCTGAGTGATACAAGCCATCTGAGCCCATTGTTTTGTGGGATTTTTTTGTCAAAATACAAGTTAAGTTCCAAATTGATAATTTGGATGTAAGAATAACACTAAATGTTTTATTTTATCAAAAACGACTAGTTGAAAAAAAAGACGAGTAAATGAATTGTAGATTTACCTTCAGGTTGGTACATTTCATGTTTTTTGTTTTCAACAGGTCACATTATCTCATCTGTACAACTCCACTCACCTGTAACATTTACTTACAATCCACATCATGCCCCTGTTTACTCGGCGGAGTTCTCTCCCTTCCACAGAAATGCATTCTTGAGTTCATCAATGGACCAGACTATCAGACTCTATAGTATGTTACAGGTAAGAATTGACTACGATTCATGTAAAACTTGAGTAAAAAGTAGTTCTTTATTGACACTAGTATTACTGATATCTAGTTTGACTTGACTTGTTGAAACATTTGTCTTCAAACATGATTTCCTTTTAACTTAAAAGACATTTTACATTGTTGGTGTGACCTATAATTAGGTGTCTTCTTTGAGTTTTTGGCCCAGTTCAGCTTTATTTGGTTTAAGTGTAAATATATGTCCAGACATAAAAATGTTATGTAACGTTGTACACATGTAACCATAAATACAGTAAATTATCAATAAACATTGATCTGATATATACAGAAACAACCAGTACTGACCATAGAGCCGGGAGAGGGTTTTATATCCTCTACAAAGTGGTCACCCATCCGTCCATCTCTCATTGCGGCGACGACCGAGTCTGGATATCTGTTACTGTATGACTTGAGAAATGAACAACCTGTACCTATTCAAAAACTGGAGGCCAGCATTAACAAGTCAGCAGTACATACCTGTCAGTTCAACCCTAACCAGTAAGTTTATCATATACACCTGTCAGTTTGTCCCTAACCAGTAAGTCTATGATGTACACCTGTCAGTTTAACCCTAACCAATAAGTCTGTGATGTACACCTGTCAGTTTGTCCCTAATCAGTAAATGTATGATGTACACCTGTCAGTTTAACACCTGTCAGTTTAACCCTAACCAATAAGTCTGTGATGTACACCTGTCAGTTTGTCCCTAATCAGTAAATATATGATGTACACCTGTCAGTTTGTCCCTAACCAGTAAGTCTGTGATGTACACCTGTCAGTTTAACCCTAACCAATAAGTCTGTGATGTACACCTGTCAGTTTAACCCTAACCAATAAGTCTGTGATGTACACCTGTCAGTTTGTCCCTAACCAGTAAGTCTGTGATGTACACCTGTCAGTTTAACCCTAACCAATAAGTCTGTGATGTACACCTGTCAGTTTGTCCCTAACCAATAAGTCTGTGATGTACACCTGTCAGTTTGTCCCTAACCAATAAGTCTGTGATGTACACCTGTCAGTTTAACCCTAACCAATAAGTCTGTGGTGTACACCTGTCAGTTTGTCCCTAACCAGTAAGTCTGTGATGTACACCTGTCAGTTTAACCCTAACCAATAAGTCTATGATGTACACCTGTCAGTTTAACCCTAACCAATAAGTCTGTGATGTACACCTGTCAGTTTGTCCCCTGTCAGTTTGTCCCTAACCAATAAGTCTGTGATGTACACCTGTCAGTTTGTCCCTAACCAATAAGTCTGTGATGTACACCTGTCAGTTTGTCCCTAACCAGTAAGTCTGTGATGTACACCTGTCAGTTTGACTTTAATCAGTAAGTCTGTGATGTACACCTGTCTGTGTTTAATCAGTACTTTGTAATCACTTTAATCAGTAAGTCTGTGATGTACACCTGTCAGTTTGACTTTAATCAGTAAGTCTGTGATGTACACCTGTCAGTTTGACTTTAATCAGTAAGTCTGTGATGTACACCTGTCAGTTTGACTTTAATCAGTAAGTCTGTGATGAACACTTGTCAGTTTGACTTTAATCAGTAAGTCTGTGATGTACACCTGTCAGTTTGACTTTAATCAGTAAGTCTGTGATGTACACCTGTCAGTTTGACTTTAATCAGTAAGTCTGTGATGTACGCCTGTCAGTTTGACTTTAATCAGTAAGTCTGTGATGTACGCCTGTCAGTTTGACTTTAATCAGTATGTCTGTGATGTACGCCTGTCAGTTTGACTTTAATCAGTAAGTCTGTGATGTACACCTGTCAGTTTGACTTTAATCAGTAAGTCTGTGATGTACACCTGTCAGTTTGACTTTAATCAGTAGGTCTGTGATGTACACCTGTCAGTTTGACTTTAATCAGTAGGTCTGTGATGTACACCTGTCAGTTTGACTTTAATCAGTAGGTCTGTGATGTACACTTGTCATAACATTTTCGTGCAACAAGTTAATTCTCTTATGTGTTTTTGTTATATAGTTTTCTTTAGACCCTTTTTGATATCTACATGGTTCTGTTTTCAGATTTGAGTTACTTGCGACTGGAGATGGAGCGGGGTTTGTGCATGTGTTCAAGCTCAGCCAAGATCTGAAAACTAGCAACTCCAAAGACATTGAAGCTATCAATATTTTGGTTGACATAGAATCTTAACAACAGTTGAAGACTAGCGTACAACACACTGTAACTACAGGCACAGATAAATATGTACTAATGTAATTATCCACAAGGGATGAACACAGAAGCTTTATCAGAACAAGCTGCATAAGGAAATCATGTTTGAATACATGGTGTGTATTAAAAAAAGACATTATTCCCTGCAAGGCATTGTGTTACATTCCAAGGGCAAGATAATGTCTGTGATCATGGAAGACTTTCTTTTAAGAATCACAAATTGTTGAAAGTATGATAGTGTGAAATGTCAGTACCACTTTACAATGTCCACATGCATTATAATTGATAAACAAGGACTTTGTCAAAATGTCTTCTCCCAAAAGCTTGTTATGAAAACTTGTTGTGAAGAAAGCATATCTTGGTAGGTGAAATTTTAATAAATTTTAGAATATATGTGAATAATTCCGTCCAAACAAGCTGTAGTACAGGAAGATTTACTGTGATATGTTTGTAGAATATAAGATTTCTCAAAATAAAGTTAGTTATGATACATAATTACTGTTTACTTGTAATGAACACAAAGGAATGTTTTGACTGATGTGGGACACTATTTAGAAGCAGTCCAATGTACATAAGGAAGTAGGCCCAATATGTGATATTGACTTGACAGAGCAATTTAGATGCATCAGTTTGGAAAATGAATGCCAACACTGACCTTTGGTTTCTTTCAGATGATCTAGGGAGATAAATGGTATGTAGCATGTTGTAGTACACAAAAATTCTGAACAAATCATGTAGAAAAATATCAAAACAATTTACTTTTATCAACCTTGGTCCTAGGTATATCCGAATACATAGACCTAAAAACCGTGTGATGTTAAATATCTTATGATGAACATCATCCTTGATACTCCAGGGGTTACAATCACTTTCGCTCTCTGCACCCCTGGAATGTGTCATGGCAAATTTAAAGGCAGGGGTGCAGAGAGCAAAAGTGATTATAACCCTTGCATTATGGAGGATGGATGTTCATCCAACACTAATTAGCATATTAAAGTCTAGACAAGCGAGATATCTGAAGACAAAGACCTATAACCCATGTGACTTATAACATTTTATCATGATGAACCTGTTCACCCAACACTAATTTAACTAGCACATTAACATCTAGAATTGCGTTTCCAGACTGTGATAACATCACTGCAGTTGTTGACAGTAATTGTTTTGCCTTCACCTTTCTGTGAAATACATTAAAGATGAAACCACCATATTCAATATACTTACTCTTTTCGGAGAATTTTTTTTTCAATTTTAAGTTTTGAACGTGTGCTTACAGTATGTATTTAGTAACTTTGTGAAAGTCTCGTCTTGTAAATATATTAATCAAAACTTGTCACGTTAACTCCCTTCAATTCATCAGGCAACAAATATGAACTGTACTCCTGGGATTTCCTCATTTTGCAGTTGTGCCTACCTATTTTAATATCAGTTCTATGCGAGTTGTACTCCTTTTTCAAAACTATTCAGCTTCTCTATTTTTTAGTTCACCTGTCTTGATGGGCTACGTGAGCTTAAGGCATACTGTGCTGTCCGTCTGTTTATTTTTCTGACCGATCACTATTAGTCATGAATGACTTGGGCAAGAGGAACAAATTTTATATAAATGATGGGTCTCTACCCCCTGGGATGGAAAGAGTGGAGTCTGAAATGGGAAATGCAGCAAATTCTTTAAAATGGGCCGCAAGGATCTTTGAGTAAAGGGGACTCTTTTTATTTTTAGCCCACCATCTATTCAAATAGATGGTGGGTTATTCAAATCGCCCTGCGTCCGTGGTCCGTCCGTCCGTCCGTAAACAATTCTTGTTACCGCTATTTCTGGAAAAGCACTGGATGGATCTTTCTCAAATTTCATATGCAGGTTCCCCTTGGTCCCTAGTTGTGCATTGTACCTTTTTTGAACTGATTCGCATTCAAGATGGCCAACAGGTGGCCGTCTTGGATTTTGGAAGTAAAAGTTTGTTACCGCTATTTCTGGAAAAGTGCTGGATGGATCTTTCTCAAATTTCATATGCAGTTTCCCCTTGGTCCCTAGTTGTGCATTGTACCTTTTTTGGACTGATTGGCCGACAAGTGGCCATCTTGGATTTTGGAAATAAAAGTTTGTTACTGCTATTTCTGAGAAAGTACTAGGTTTCATATGCAGTTTCCATCTTGGATTTTGGAAGTAAAAGTTTGTTACTGCTATTTCTGAGAAAGTACTAGATTGATCTTCCTCAAATTTCATATGCAGTTTCCCTTTGGTCCCTAGTTGTGCATTGTACCTTTTTTGGACTGATTCAAATTCAAGATGGCTGGCAGGCAACCATCTTGGATTTTGGAAGTAAAAGTTTGTTACTGCTATTTCTTGGAAAGTACTGGATGGATCTTTCTCAAATTTCATATGCAGTTTCCCTTTGGTCCCTAGTTGTGCATTGTACCTTTTTTGGACTGATTCGAATTCAAGATGGCCGACAGGTGGCCATCTTGGATTTTGGATGTAAAAGTTTGTTACAGCTATTTCTTGGAAAGTACTGGATGGATCTTTCTCAAATTTCATATGCAGTTTCCCTTTGGTCCCTAGTTGTGCATTGTACCTTTTTTGGACTGATTCGAATTCAAGATGGCCGACAGGTGGCCATCTTGGATTTTGGATGTAAAAGTTTGTTACAGCTATTTCTTGGAAAGTACTGGATGGATCAAATTTCATATGCAGGTTCCCCTTGGTCCCTAGTTGTGCATTGTACCTTTTTTGGACTGATTCGAATTCAAGATGGCCGACAGGCAGCCATCTTGGATTTTGGAAGTAAAAGTTTGTTACTGCTATTTCTTGGAAAGTACTGGATGGATCTTTCTCAAATTTCATATGCAGGTTCCTTTGGTTCCAATTGGTGCATTATACCTTTTTGGACTGATCTGAAATCAAGATGGCTGACAGGCAGCCATCTTGGATTTTGAGAGTAAAATCTTGTTACTGCTATATCTGAGGAAGTCCAGGATGGATCCTTCTGATATTTCATAGATATTGGTTTCCCTTGGTCCCTAGTTGTGCATTGTACCTTTTTTGGACTGATTTGAAATCAAGGTGGCCCACAGGCAGCCATCTTGGATGTCGACAGTAATATAGCACAAGCATATTGTCCATTATCCACCTGTAACTGACTGCTATCTAATAATACTTTGGGATCTTTTTCAAATGATATTTGCTGATAGGTGCTTAATAAAAATATCTTGTGCCATCATTGAGTACATTCAATGAAGACCAGTTCATGAACAGTTACAACACCTGTAACAAACAAAAAAAAATCTTCAAGAACTGAAAACAGATCCTCAAATGGTGGGCGCCAAGATCCCTCTGGGATCTCTTGTTGTGAGTAAACCGTGGGTCATACGCCCCTGCAGTGGGAGTGGCAGGGTCTAATAAAAGGAGCACAATGAATTCTTTTCAAATCCTACTCTTCCAGTAGGAATGTTTAGATTTTGAGCAAATTTAGTCTAAAGTATTCTTGTTTGAAGGGAAATCTATTTTGTGTAAATAGTGGGTCTTGGCCACCTTGAGCGGAAATAGTGGGGCCCGGGGCCCCAATAGGGAGGAAAAAGAGCAAATTCTTCAAAGTCTGTCTTTGGTTTGAATGATTCACTTTTGCCAAAATTTTATCCCCCCTACCCCCCACCTCTACTTCCCCAAGGGCAGAGGGCCCTCTAGTAGGAGAAATAGATGCAAGTGTTTTTAGATGAAGTATTTCAGCAAACTAAACAAAACAAGCAATACAGGCCCTTAGGGCCTCTTGATTATCCGAAGTTTGATGTTTATAAGGAATTAATCACCTTACTCAGAAGTTACACATTAATAATTAGTCCATTTAAGTATTTTTCACATTATTCATGAAGACTCCCTGTATATGGCTTAACAATGGTGTTATTCCTTTTTAATTTAACATTTTCATACGCAACAACAACAAAAAATATACATACTGTTTGATTTATTTCTTCTAGATTTGACAGTGAAATACATGCACTTTACTTGAAAATTGTGGAAGGTAAAACCAGAAGTTGAAAACGCCAAATAGGAGACATCATTGATATTACTTAGGTCTGTTAGGGTTATTTGACGAAAATAAAACATTGTATTTTTATTTAAGTTAACATTCTTGACAGTTTGGATAGTTTTTTAGTAGCAGTGTTATGTGCCTAAGTAGCCAACATATATTCACATCAGTTCCTAAAAGAATGTAGTTCCATCTTGGATTGTTAAATATCCTTAATGAATATTTTCCATATGGAATCCTTCAGAGTCATGTGTGTACTCTGGTTATCTCTCCTCTATCCCACACCACCCTACAGGTGGAGCATGTCAGAGTGCCAGTGTTCAGTGTTAGGCAGTCTCTACACATGATGTGCTCACATACACCCTTATACATCAAATAACAAGCCTTATTGCACATACAACACACATGACTTTTACTGGAAACATCAGTAATTTTTTCAGAGTTTTGATTTTTTGAAGAAGTCTTTGAGAATTTTGTAAATGAAGGTAAAGATCCAAGAGTTGAAGCAAGTGCTGAGTCAAGACTATATTTCAGACTTTCACCATGACTGGTCCCACTCCTGCTTTCCACCTGTGTTGAAGTTCTACTAGGAGTGGAACTGATTTTTGTTTCATTTTTGATAATCTCACAATATGGTACTGACTTTTTCAATCGCTTTGCTCTGGTTGCTAAGTCTGAGTTATCGGTAACATCACACACATATCTTTTGTTATCAACAGTAATTTTATGAGATCCTTGCATGCTATCAACTGCCATATTTTGTGACAGAATCTTACTTGATAATGGTTGTTTTGAGGAATAAGTGTTTCTTTTCCCTAACATACGAGGTAGATGTCCAAGAGCATCACTATGAGTCAGCACAAATTGATCAATTCTGCTTTTCAGTGAAGTATTGGGAATTGGCTGGATGTTTGAGTGGAAGTGTATTCCTGTGTAAGGATCACTCGGAGGACGACCCCAAGAGGCTTCATTACTGTTGTGTTTCTCCAAAGTAGACTGGTCAATATTTTCTCCGCATGGTAACAGCATGGGAACTATCATAATGTCACATGTGATCTTGTCAATAAAGTCTTTTGGAACCTCTATTCCCTTTTCATGATAGACATCCACACTCACATTATCAGCTTTAGGATTATTCCTTCTACTGGTCTCTACACAGTCATTGTCTTCTACATTTGTATGCAGAGAAGAACGATATATAGCCTGCACTCTGTTGCTGATATCTATGGGACAAGAGCGGGATGGTTGGCCCCAGATTTCCAGACGTTGTATTCCAACAGCACTTCCATTACTTGTTTTGGATACTCTAACTGAGATGTGGCTAACAAAACTCAAAGACGACAGTTTATGATGTCTCAAATTCTGTGCATTTGGAAAATGACTTGATGTGGGCATGGTTGCTTCTGGATGCCAGTCACCAAAAGGACGGTACTGAACATTACTAAAGCACAGCATCCCTGGATCTTGCATCACAATTTTTCCAACTTGCTGGTAAATCATACTTGTCGGTTTCATTGTAGAGTCATTTGAAGACTGTTTGGATACTCCATTAAGCCAGCAGTTTTCTACTTTTTTTGAGCAGGTGAAAATTTCAATGCCACTTGATACTTGCCTCCCAACTTTTGGATCAATTACAATGCGGAACAACTCTATGTTGCATGGAAATTCTACAGTTATAATGACAGGGGGTTTTATGAAAGTCTCTGCTAGGAATCCACGTCTACGTTTTGCCCAATCTTGAGACACCAGATTAGTTACATCATAATGGTCAGCACCAACTTTATCACAAGTGATTCTGGCATCAAACTGACCATTGCAGAAGTCTACTAACATTTTTTGACATCCGAACTGAAAAGGTGAGAGACAAAACATTAAAAATTGTGCAATAACAAAGATTATCATGCAGTAATCCAGCTAACTCGTGTCTATTTTACTACTAAGAAACAAGATGTTATCTCGATTTCTGAATTGTGTTTTTACGACAATTCATTTCGCTTTCTCTGTATATTTTCTGTTAGTACTAGTAGTGACAAATATATATGGAGTATAAACGATAATTAGAGCAATAAAATGGGGTTTAACTTGTTATAAGGATAAAAAGGATAGACTACTTGTTCATTGATTCGAATAAACATTTAAGACTATCTGAACTAACATTAAAAAAAAATGCGAGTCGGTCTATCTGCTTATGAAAATGACGACCGGGACACAAGTTTTGTAGGTTGGTTACCAATTGGAAGAGACTAGCGAGTAATATTCAGCTATCAGAGATGTAACTTTCCAAATTATAGTAATAAATATTCACTGTACAACGATCCTGAAAAAATGCAACACCATTAACGCACCTGGACTTGAACTTATTAAACAAACAGTGCTTTGTTGTTCTCCGGCTGTCAGTGACCGGATGCTTCAAACGGCACTATAAAAGACGGTCTGGATCTCGGAAAGTCCGGAAACAACTTAAAAATATTGCAATTTCAACATTCCAAATAGAAAATTTGTTTTGATAGAGCATCTGCTATTTCGTCTATATGAATGGTAGCTATTATTTTTTTAAACGAAAATAAATAATAATAACCATTTTGATGAAGTAACACTGCTACAGTTATCATTTGATTTTTTCATTATCTGCATGACTAATAAAAAGTTGTCTATAAAACTTTAACTTACATCAGCCAACCCCTAGCGAAACAGTAAGGTACCACAATGCACCTATGCTATTACATTTTCTAAGATGGAAAAAAATCAGATGGCTTCATTGTTGCCTAACCCTCCCGATTCCCTATTATATTTTTGTCTATCAAAACTTTTGACAAGTTATAATATGGTATAACAGGAGCGGAAAAATGCACAGCCAGACTGGGGTTTGACCCTGGTTCCTTCCAGACTTTGGACAGATGCTTTGCCAATTGAGCTAGTTGATCTCCGACGACTGACCCAATCCAGTTCTGCTACAATGGTATAGGATTGTTAACTTAAACTTTTGAAAAGAGAACTTCTCTAGTTTTCAACTGATCTCTTTCAATTTTGGTGAAGCTAATCACACCAACATGTTGTTTTTTTTCTTGAACGACAGTTTCATTTAACAGTATATGAGATAGTTAATGCCCCTTGCTTATTTCCTAATCTTTTGTCTGGAGATCTTCTTTATCACATTTCAACCAATGTCTTTCAAACTTGGAAGACTTAATGACAAAGACTTGAAGTTGTGTTTTCCTGGATAGCAGTTTGAGTCAACAATTTTTGGAGGAATTACAGTTCTTTGTGTTTTTTCAGCATTTAAATCTTATCTGGAGATTTTATCTATCAGTTTGTGACTTTAGAAAGCTGGGTACACTTTATCACAGTAAGGTCTCTTTCTGTGGTATTTGACTCAACAAGTATTGGAAAAGTTCATTCCTTTTGCTCTGTCCAGCTTTTTGGTCTTCTAACCAATTTCATTTATATTTGGTACTTTGATCAAAATACTGAAAAACTTTGACAGTGGCAGTTTGATCAGACAATTATTATTTTATTTCTATGTCTGTATTTGATACAAGATAATAATGTAATAATGTATTACTCTTCATCATGAAACAGGTGTACATTATTCTGCCCCGTGGTACTTTTCATACATGACGATCAAGAGTTTTATGTGGCAGGAACTTTAAAAATAAGAGAATTAAACTGTATAGACTTTTCCAAAATCCATTCCTATAGTTTAACAGCTGTTAATGTAGAAAAAGAAACACTAAATTTATGTTGCATCTGGTATTTATTTGCTCTGAATAAAAATTCAATCACACAAAATAATGCAGCAATTTCAAAATTAATAAATAAATTCTGTGTCTTAGAAAATGTAACTTTCAATGAAATTGCATAATGTATTGTGGTATAGTGATTTATTTATTTATTTTTGTTTTTTTGGCGTTCAAATGTTTGTGTATATGTTTCAGCAATGACTGAGGTAGGAACCTTGTACAGGAGTGAAACAAAACTAAAGATGATAATTGAATACAAAAATCTTTATGGATTGTTGTTTTTCCAAATTTGATTTTTAACTGCACGTTTTCACAAAAATTAAAGACATAAGTCCCATTACAAAAGTCGTGAACAAATGTCCTGTGATAAGTTAACATACCAAAAATAAATTATGCACAACAGAACAGAACACCATGGCACTGATGCTGGATATCTTTTACGAAAATATGGATATACAATTGTAATATTTCCAAATTCTTGAGGAAATCCACACATGAAATACAAAAACATAATCTGGAGGTGGAGGAAACTTACCAAAACAAGAGATCTCAGAGGGATTTTGGCGCCCACCATTGTTTGATCTTTATATACTCTTTGAACCATCAAGTACTTCTCAAGAAATAGCAACAACAAACTAAAAAAGTAAAAATCCAAGATGGCTGCCTGTCTGCCTTTTTCTTTTTTTGATCAGACCCAAAATCAAAAAGGCACAACTAGGGACCAGGGGGAACCTCGTATGAAATTTAAGAAAGAACCATCCAGTATTTCTCTAGAAATAGTGATAACAAACATTCAAAGTCAAAATCCAAGATGGGCCGCCTTTCAGCCATTTTGTTTTTCTGTTCAGTTCCAAAATTACATGGGCACAACTAGAGACCAAGGGGAACTTACATACATATGAAATTTGAGAGAGATCCATTCTGTACTTCTCAAGAAATAGTGATAATAAACTTCACTGAAAAAATCCAAGATGGCTGCCTGTCTGCCTTTTTCTTTTTTTGATCAGACCCAAAATCAAAAAGGCACAACTAGGGACCAGGGGGAACCTCGTATGAAATTTAAGAAAGAACCATCCAGTATTTCTCTAGAAATAGTGATAACAAACTCTCAAAGTCAAAATCCAAGATGGGCCGCCTTTCAGCCATTTTGTTTTTCTGTTCAGTTCCAAAATTACATGGGCACAACTAGAGACCAAGGGGAACTTACATACATATGAAATTTGAGAGAGATCCATTCTGTACTTCTCAAGAAATAGTGATAATAAACTTCACTGAAAAAATCCAAGATGGCTGCCTGTCAGCCTTTTTCTTTTTTTGATCAGACCCAAAATCAAAAAGGCACAACTAGGGACCAGGGGGAACCTCTTATGAAATTTAAGAAAGAACCATCCAGTATTTCTCTAGAAATAGTGATAACAAACTTTCAAAGTCAAAATCCAAGATGGGCCGCCTTTCAGCCATTTTGTTTTTCTGTTCAGTTCCAAAATTACATGGGCACAACTAGAGACCAAGGGGAACTTACATACATATGAAATTTGAGAGAGATCCATTCTGTACTTCTCAAGAAATAGTGATAATAAACTTCACTGAAAAAATCCAAGATGGCTGCCTGTCTGCCATTTTGTTTTTTCGATCAGTCTCAAAATCAAATGGGCACAACTAGGGATCAAGGGGAACCTTCATATGCAATTTGAGAAAGATCCATCCAGAGCTTCTCAAAAATAGCGGTAACAAAAATTGCTTACGAATAGACGGACTACGGACACAGAGCTATCTTAATAGCCCACCATCTGCTGATGAATAAACAAATTCAACAAATAAGGAATTCAGGTATATTGTAAAAATTAAAGAAAAAACAAAATAATGATAAAATATTTCATATTCATTCTGATAAACATCCAATTTAAACATGTCAGTCAAGTCTCATTATGGAGACAAAAGTAGCATGCTTTTATATGTTGGAGATCAATCCTTCTACGACTGGACTTAACAAACTGCCACTATAACAGAAACAATTGTTTAATGACTTTTTGAAAATTGTAATGAGTACAAGCTTTGTCTACATCTACATCGATCACAATATCCTTACAGTAAAAATATTACTTCATCATTTACCATGTTCAACACACAGTATCACATTATACATGTGACAGTAATTAGCATTCATACATATTACAGTGACAATACTTACCTCAAATGTTTTTATAAAAGAATTTCATATTTCCTACCTGTTGAAGCAGGGGTAAGTTGTTTTTTCAATCTATAATTTGAAAACTAAAGGAATGCTTTCTTGTGTCTTAATGTTAGATCACAACAAAAGAAATGTTTTCTTGTGTCTTAAAGCTATATTACAACTAAAGAAGTGTTTTCTTGTGTCTTAAAGTTAGATCACAACTAAAGAAGTGTTTTCTTGTGTCTTAAAGTTATATCACAACCAAGTACCGTAAAAACCCACGTAATGTCCGCATCTGTGTAATGTCCGCACCCCTTTTTTGACACAAAAATCTGGGGAAAAAACCCACCTTCCATGTAATGTCCGCGGGTAAAAAATGCAAATTGAAGCTGCCGATTTCATTTCACGTACGCTAATGTCGTAATGGCCGAGAGCATGTCGCAATGTGTATAACATACAGGTACCATTCAAGAATTCACTTAATTGTTTATAACAACAGTTATTCTCCATAATGGTACAGTAAGCTTACCAGTATGACAAGTCCTCCTTTCAATAATTGGTGTTTTGATAAGGGTTAGCCCAGCAGTGTTATAAACAGCTTGGGTCGTCTCCTCACCTCGAGTGTGAGTGAGTGACAGCGTGTGATTAGCCAATTAACGATAACTATACAGTAACATGACCCGCCCATGACCCACGGCGCCACTGACCCTACGGACACACCATCAGACGACGAGAACGCCATTTATTACAACGACCAGACAGAGGAAGACAACTTCAACGCCGAGGAGTTCTTCCACAGTGACGACGACGACTTCTGGGGTTTCGAGAAACGCGATTAAACCGGCCTGCTGTGTATTAAGACTTTCTGATAAACGATCCATAATCAATAAAACGTCTGATTATTTATTTTATGTAATATTCTTGTACATGTTATTTATTGTTATTTTGTAAATAAAATGTAGAATGAAAATGTGTTATTTTGTTTATGCTCATGGGTATGCTTTTTCAATGGGGAAAGGGGAATAACTCTAACTTTATTCATGTGACAAAGTCGAACAAAATGGCTTCCTATTACGAAGGACGACACAATACGAACCTGTAACGAAAAATTGGAAGGAATTAATCATGGAAACTATAATAAATAATCATAAATAATCATGTTTGGTTGAGGAAACATCATAGAAAAAACCATAGAACGATAATATCAGGTATGCTTGGCTTTTAAGAACACAATTCAAGGAGATATGATATGAATTGTCGGAAGGAAAAAAGTGTCATTTCCTCTATATCTCTGTAATGTCCGCACCCCCTTTTTTGGATTGATTTTCGGTGAAAAAAAGTGCGGACATTACATGGGTTTTTACGGTAAATGTTTTCTTGTGTCTTAATGTTAGATCACAACTAAAGAAATATTTCCTTATGTCTAGGTGTTGGATCACACAATGTTGATACCATCACAATTTGATCCAATAATAAGTGAAACTGTTAAAAAATGTCAACTTATTTTACCTCCATATGGGAAATATCTTACCCTCCAATTGTGTATATAGGAACACACTGTGTCAGCATTTTTTTTACTTCTTCAATAAATTTTAAATCCATGTGACATAGGAATTTCAAAGTCCAAAAAAGTTACAAAAATTTACATTGAAAAATTCTTATTTTTCTTTTTCAGGTACTAAAAAGTTATAACTTCTTTGCACCTCTTCTGAAAAGAATGTGATCTTCTTTGAATGGTTACAATTTGGCTCTATGTTGAATCTTACAGGCAATGTTAATGAAGTAGACTATTCTGATTAGCAGTGTGGTAGATGGTAAGAAAATCCAGAGAATAGAGACTTTAAAATATCTAAAAAATCATTTCAGGCATCTGTGTTCTGCCCTACACCATGAGTTCTTGAGTTTATAGGGACCCCTGGGAAAATATAAAGTGTTAATCTTCAAATGGGTAACAATATACAGTCTCCTGAATGATTCTATATACATGGAGTCCACTGAGAAATAAGGCAAATCATTTTATTGATACAAAAGAGGCCATGTTTATCACACCAGGTGATATTGACACACAAGTAGGAGATGATAACTGTGAACACAACCATTCAGAATAAAGGTATGTTTGTGAGATCTTTTTAATCCTCCTGGGTGACGTAGTCTTCGCTAAAGTCAAGGGCTACAACTCATCTGTACCTTTGACATACCATCGGGAAGAATAATGATTACCATGAAATAGCATACTGATAAATGTTTGTAATAGATTTAGGGGCATCAGTACTACTGTATAAAAGAAACTGTCAATTCAGGAAAATATTCTATAAAGCAAATACAGTATTAATTACACCATGTCTTTTTAAAAGTATTATCACAGTAGCAGCTGTTATAATATCACAGACATATCACAGTACAAATGTTATTACCATGTAATATACTATAATGTACATTACTATTACACTGTGTGTAATATAATACATCATATTTTTACTGTGTGTAATATAATATAACATACATTAATACAATGTGTAAAAATTTTAAAAAGGGGTGGAGGGGTCCAACTTCCCGTGGGTGGTACTGATCGATAGATATGTCAGAGCAGGACTCTTAGGTGGATACAGGAGTATTTTAGCAAAGCTCCATAGACAATATGTACTAACAACAAGATGAAGGATGGAGCATCAATGCCAGGGATTCCGTGGATTTAGATTTTAGATGTTTCCGTTGGCTAGACCAACCGTCTTCAGAACGTTCTGCAGACGGTTGGTCTAGCCAACCGAAACATGTCAACCAACAATACAATGTATGTAATATAATATTTCACTTTATGTATTCTATAATGTACATTAATATTACATATCATGTACTACAATGTACATTATATCACAATGTATGTAATACTATGTTATATTACACTGTATATAGTAAAGATTTTTTTCTTTTAATTAAAATTATCATCATGTTACCAAAAAGAATACAATTTTTCAAGGCAAGCATTAAATAGACTCATACAATAGACTATGTTGTTTTTCCAATAATATCATTTCCATTGTATCTCTTTGTTTGTAATTCAATTTCATCCTCAAAAAACCCCCAACCTTAACAGTGTATAATACATTAAGTACCTGTAAACATATCTATTTTCAGTAGTAACCTTAATTTGACATTTTTCAGGCATAAAGTCTTGTATTTAATTGGACTACGCTGAATTGCAGTTTCTGTGTTGCATTATTTCATTCTTGTGGTAATTTGTCAAAAAATTGATGATGCACTGAAATTTGATTATCTTAAAATATTACTGTTATAGTGTCACAGTATTATATGTATCTGATTGTGATATGAAACCAACACAGTATTACATGTATCTGATTGTGATATGTGACACACACAGTATTACATGTATCTGATTGTGATATGTGACACACAGTATTACATGTATCTGATTGTGATATGTGACACACACAGTATTACATGTATCTGATTGTGATATGTGACACACAGTATTACATGTATCTGATTGTGATATGTGACACACAGTATTACATGTATCTGATTGTGATATGTGACACACACAGTATTACATGTATCTGATTGTGATATGTGACACACAGTATTACATGTATCTGATTGTGATATGTGACACACAGTATTACATGTATCTGATTGTGATATGTGACACACAGTATTACATGTATCTGATTGTGATATGTGACACACACAGTATTACATGTATCTGATTGTGATATGTGACACACAGTATTACATGTATCTGATTGTGATATGTGACACACAGTATTACATGTATCTGATTGTGATATGTGACACACACAGTATTACATGTATCTGATTGTGATATGTGACACACACAGTATTACATGTATCTGATTGTGATATGTGACACACACAGTATTACATGTATCTGATTGTGATATGTGACACACACAGTATTACATGTATCTGATTGTGATATGTGACACACACAGTATTACATGTATCTGATTGTGATATGTGACACACACAGTATTACATGTATCTGATTGTGATATGTGACACACACAGTATTACATGTATCTGATTGTGATACAGGGCAAACATATAATTGGAAATCTTGAATAAATGTCCCTGATATTGAGCTGCCCAACAACTCACTTGAGTATCAAAACCTGAATATATTATTTTGATCCAGACTCTTCTGCTTGCACCAAACACAATATACAAGACTAGTTCAATATTTCTTCGTACTTGGTGCATCATTCTATCACACAACTTTCTCTGAGTTTCTGCAAAGTCACTTGGTCAAATCCCAGCATGCTCTTTAATATTGAATCTGTGTGCTGTCCAAGTGTGGGAGGAGCTGTAGCCTGAGGCCGTCTGTATTGGCTGTACCGGACTGCAGGACCTAAACATTACGAGAATATATCTAAGCAATGAAATAAAATGTCTATAACTTTAAATCTTAACCTGGCCAAAGCAGGGAGGGAAGTGTTTTTATATCAAGACACTTGTGAAGTCTGGCATTCATCTGACTTTAAGAAATTGAAATACGTTTTACAAGGACTATGTTAAATGAGACTGACTACTTCCTGGTCCCAGAAAATATCTGCATCCCCATGGTATAGAATTTGATAAGATATGAAATGTTTATTATTGAAAAAAAACCAAATTACAACACATTAAACACGGTTACATAACATGGATTTTGATTTAATCAAGGAACATTTTTTTTTACTATTGATTTGATAATATTTACTATAGAGCTATGAACTTTTTTATCTAATAAAATATCATACTAGAATGGAGCTTTAGTCATTATAGTAATTGTGTAACTGACTATAATGGAGCTTTGGTCATATAGTAATTGTGTAACTGACTAGAATGGAGCTTTGGTCATTATAGTAATTGTGTAACTGACTAGAATGGAGCTTTGGTCATATAGTAATTGTGTAACTGACTATAATGGAGCTTTGGTCATTATAGTAATTGTGTAACTGACTAGAATGGAGCTTTGGTCATATAGTAATTGTGTAACTGTCTAGAAGTGTACCATCAACCCACCAGAACATTGAACTATTCCAGCAAGCAGCCTGCTAATCACTGCATCGTCATTGCTTATACGTTCATGAAGCATGGCATCAAAATCTATATATTATATCTGAATATATTTCAAATTTGTTCTCATGATGACACTTCTAATGTGCTGAAACTACACATAATAAACATTCTTGATTAAAACCGATCAACCTAGTACAATATTGTTATGGCAATCTTTATCCTTTGATTATTCAACATCTTTGGCTAGATCCTTGAGGAATCTGTCTGCTGGGCACCACAGAATTCTCCTGTACTTTGTGTTTTCTATCTCCCTCTCCCTATTTTGATAAAATTTGTTTTCCTCTTATTTATGAGTTTAACTTATTATTCCTGTCAGTTTTACCCACCTTAATTGTCAATTTTACCTTACTTACCTAATCACTTTTACGGACTTTACCTGTCAATTTTACCTGACCTTACCTGTCAAGTTTATCTGATCTCACCAACAAGACTTACTTGACCTAATCAGTAATATTGACTTGACTTTACCTATTAGATTTACCTTACCTTACCTGTCAAATTTATATTATTTTACCTATTAGTTTTAACTTAGTCTACCCTGTAGATTTATCTGACATTTACCTGGACTTACCTGTCAAGACTGACCTGAACTTACCTGTCAGTTTTACCCGACTTTAAGATTGATCTGATCCTACTTGTTTATTTTACTTCACCAATGTGATTAACTAACATGATGCTGGGACCTTACCAGGTAGTTGTATTTGTCCAACTGTAGGGTGTTGGAGTTCCTGAACCATGTTGTTATGTAGAACCTAACAAAACAACAAAAACAATACTTTAGATCAAACTTCACCCCAGAGATAAATATGCTACACACCTATAGGTCAGACTTGACTCCAGAGATAAATATGCTACACACCTATAGGTCAGACTTGACCCCAGAGATAAATATGCTACACACCTATAGGTCAGACTTCACCCCAGAGATAAATATGCCACACACCTATAGGTCAGACTTGACTCCAGAGATAAAATGCCACACACTTATAGGTCAGACTTGACCCCAGAGATAAATATGCCACACACTTATAGGTCAGACTTGACTCCAGAGATAAATATGCCACACACTTATAGGTCAGACTTGACCCCAGAGATAAATATGCCACACACTTATAGGTCAGACTTGACTCCAGAGATAAATATGCCACACACTTATAGGTCAGACTTGACTCCAGAGATAAATATGCCACACACTTATAGGTCAGACTTGACCCCAGAGATAAATATGCCACACACTTATAGGTCAGACTTGACTCCAGAGATAAATATGCCACACACTTATAGGTCAGACTTGACCCCAGAGATAAATATGCTACACACTTATAGGTCAGACTTGACCCCAGAGATAAATATGCCACACACCTATAGGTCAGACTTGACTCCAGAGATAAATATGCCACACACCTATAGGTCAGACTTGACTCCAGAGATAAATATGCCACACACTTATAGGTCAGACTTGACCCCAGAGATAAATATGCCACACACTTATAGGTCAGACTTGACTCCAGAGATAAATATGCCACACACTTATAGGTCAGACTTGACCCCAGAGATAAATATGCTACACACCTATAGGTCAGACTTGACCCCAGAATTAAATATGCTACACACTTATAGGTCAGACTTGACCCCAGAGATAAATATGCTACACACTTATAGGTCAGACTTGACCCCAGAGATAAATATGCCACACACTTATAGGTTAGACTTGACCCCAGACATAAATATGCCACACACTTATAGGTTAGACTTGACCCCACAGATAAAATGCCACACACTTATAGGTTAGACTTAACCCCAGAGATAAATATGCCACACACTTATAGGTTAGACTTAACCTCACACAAACTATACCACACAGCTGGTTTTAAACTGAACAGAAAAATGCAATGCCAGTGCTATTTTCATGCTTCAACTGAATGCGAAGGTGTAGCCAAATGACAGAATATTATTGATGGAATCATTTTAGAGCAACCATTTCAACATCTGACTGTCAAGAGAGCGATTGACTATGAGTTAACACCCCTCGTGAGGACCATCTCATACTGCTGTACCAGATTTGGGATTAGTTTCTTCCAGCAACCATAACAGCATGGACTTTGATTGGTGAACAGGTGAGCTGTCAGACCATCAGTAATAGGCTGAAATGTCACCTAATTTGTATGAGGAGAATTTACACAGGCCCCATCTGTGGCAACACCATCGCATTAATCACCTTGATAGGGCTCAGCGGCATTGACAGGCCCCTTAATGTTATACACAACTTTGTAACACCTACAAGTCCCTATATGTTATATACACTTGTGGAACAGATAGAGGCCTTGTTATATTATACAAAACTATGGGAAAACTATAGGCCTCTTAATATTATACATGCCTGTGGATCAGAGAAGACTTTCTCCATATTGTTGATTGGCCCATATGGTAAACCTGATCCCTCAAATACAGCTAACCATTCATCTGTGGTTTTACTCAGGAACCTGGTGGTAGCAAAACAGTGTTATAACAATTCTTATGATATCAGTAAAATTAGGAGCTTGCTGTTATGTTGAGCATTATTCACATGCCCCTAGCATGAACATTATTTTTAACAACAGGTCCATGGGCCACATTTGTTTGGTCATCAGCAGGCACATAGGCCATGTTTACTTGTTCACAAGCACTCAATGTTGGAGTATGACCCCATCCTACACCACGACCCTACTCCCTGATGGCATGGAGGAATGTGGTGAGAATGTGGAGGAATGTGGTGAGAATGTGGAAGAATGTGGTGAAAATGTGGAGGAATGTGGTGAGAATGTGGAGGAATGTGGTGAGAATGTGGAAGAATGTGGTGAAAATGTGGAGGAATGTGGTGAGAATGTGGAGGAAAGTGGTGAGAATGTGGAGGAATGTGGTGAGAATGAGGAAGGAATGTGGTAAGAATGTGGAGGAATGTGGTGAGAATGTGGAGGAATGTGGTGAGAATGTGGAGGAATGTGATGATAATGTGGAAGAATGTGGTGAGAATGGGGAGGAATGTGGTGAGATATGGTGAGAATGTGGAGGAATGTGTGAGAATGTGGAGGAATGTGGTGAGATATGGTGAGAATGTGGAGGAATGTGTGAGAATGTGTGAGAATGTGGTTAGAATGTGGAAGAATGTGGTGAGATATGGTGAGAATGTGAAGGAATGTGTGAGAATGTGGAGAATGTGGTTAGAATGTGGTGAGAATGCGGATGAAAGTGGTGAGAATGTGGAGGAATATGGTGATAATGTGGAGGAAATTGGAGAGAATGTGGAGGAATGTGGTAAAAATGTGGAAGAATGAGGTGAGAATGTTGACGAATGTGGTGAGAATGTGGAGGAATGTGGTTAGAATGTGGAGGAATGTGGTAAGAATGTGGAAGAATGAGGTGAGAATGTGGAGGAATGTGGTGAGAATGTGGAGGAATGTGGTTAGAATGTGGAGTCATCAAGAAGTTATCTAAAGTTTTTTTTAATACATTCGATCCCTGTGACCTTGAATGAAGGTCAAGGTCATTTATTTGAACAAACTTAGTAGCTCTTCATACCAACATGCTACTGCATAACCAGCATAACTTACCTGTCTGATTGTTTTACAACATATATTTTACCTGTCTGATAAGATCTCCAGCAATTCCTCTCTATTCTCCACACGGCTTTGGTTGTTGATGAATTTAACATCACTGGATAAGTGATCAAGCTCCATCATCTAGTAACACAAACAATTCAAATTAATACTACGTTCTCCTCCTACAACTAGATTCATAAATAATTTTCATATTGCCAACATTTGTCCTTGTTCTCTTGACATGAGAAAGAGGTCACTTATTAATTATAGTGAGAGCTTCAGAAAATTTTAATTTCACAAAATTTAAATGGAATGGGAACAAAGTCCAGTTTACTTTTATAATTATGTATTCCTAAAGTTTACAAGATCTGTGTTTGTAATGAATGTAGGAATGTTACTGGGAAACACCACCAATTTTTTTCTGATAATGACGATGTTGTTACTGTCATCAAACATCACAACAGTGATATTACTCATGTTAGATATTTCATTGATCAGATTATCTGACATTCTGGTCTTAACAAGTAAATATTAGTCAGCAACACTTATCACAGTTAAACAGAATTATAGATATGAACAATTTCTGGAGTACATTCATGTATATCTATAAAGCACCAGATACTTATCAAAGAGAGAGCTTATTACAGGCATAGTCTAATGAATAATGATATTGAGTATATAACCTGACAAAGGGCTGTAAACTGCTGGTTATTACAGCCTCCAACCATTATGTAGCTGTTTGCGGTCTGGAATGCCTGTTAACATATATACTCATGGTTATACAAATGTATACATTTTAACATACTCTAATCATCATGTATCAGAATCTAAGGGAAGAGTATAAGACATCACACTTTAACAACAATCTCAAGATATTTCCAAACATAGACCTTGGACACTTGGTTAAAAATTAATCTATTTCTTTATTGCACCATTTTTTTCTTTAAATTTTGGCGTAGTTCAAAGGTCAAAGTGACCTACTTTTACCACCTATCAAGATGTGTCTATAAATCATGTTAACCAAGATGTACACTGTAAATGTTAATAATTTGAGACAATCAAATTTAAGCAAATTTTCAAAATAGTAAATTAATCTATTTGTGCTACAACAATAACCGCTATATAAATGTGGATATAAAGAAAGAAACCAAGTGCAATACAGCTGTTCTTTAAACAACAAATAAACAAAAGAGGTCAGAGGTCCCAATTCAGGTCACAGTGACCTTGTTATGATATGTGATAATCTGTCATCCCAAAATGAAGTAAACATACTTGCATGCCTTTATGTTTGTTAACCTTGATAAAAGTGACTTGATGTAAACACATCAAGAATGATGATTGTAACACAGTTCTGATGAAATTAAAATAGAGGTGTAATCATTAAACAGCTATAGATATTGGTGTAACAGTAAATGATGTATCCACACCTGGTAGGGGACAATACTCTGGTGAGCTGTGCCATAGCGTTGAGCTTCTTGTCCAGCATTTAGATAGTTAGAGCCCAGATTTACCAGTGAGGCCACCTATAAGGTAAGAAAAGTGTTATAAGGATTAATTCAAACACCAGCCTTTATTGTTGCATTAAGTAAGATCAAATGAAGTCATTACTAAATGACTGATTCTATAGCAAATCTATCACATTATCAACACTATATTCATCCAGGAAAAGATTCTTGCCCTCTAAATCTAATGTGTTGTCTGAAAAAAATTGTTCCTTTGCTGCTGAAATACTTTAAAAAATGTTTTACAATTATCTGGTTAAAGACAACACAACCATTTTGACACTTCTCCAGTTTTGGAATATCTAAAAGCATCTCTGCTCTCCATCCTAATGACCACTTACCATTCATCCTAATGACCACTTACCATCCATCCTAACGACCACTTACCATCCATCCTAACGACCCCTTACCATCCATCCTAACGACCACTTACCATCCATCCTACGGCCACTTACCATCCATCCTAATGACCACTTACCATCCATCCTAATGACCACTTACCATCCGTCCTAATGACCACTTACCATCCGTCCTTATGATCACTTACCATCCATCCTAATGACCACTTACAATCAATCCTATGACCACTTACCATCCATCCTATGACCACTTACCATCCATCCTAATGACCACTTACCATCCATCCTAATGACCACTTACAATCCATCCTATGACCACTTACTATCCATCCTAATGACCACTTACCATCCATCCTAATGACCACTTACCATCCATCCTAAGACCACTTACCATCCATCCTACGACCACTTACAATCCATCCTACGACCACTAACCATCCATGCTACGACCACTTACCATCCATCCTACAACCACTTATCATCCATCCTAAGACCACTTACCATTCATCCGAAGACCACTTACCATCCATCCTACGACCACTTATCATCCATCCTATGACCACTTACCATCCATCCTAATGACCACTTACCATCCATCCTAATGACCACTTACCATCCATCCTAAGACCACTTACCATCCATCCTACGACCACTTACAATCCATCCTACGACCACTAACCATCCATCCTACGACCACTTACCATCCATCCTAAAACCACTTATCATCCATCCTAAGACCACTTACCATCCATCCTACAACCACTTACCATCCATCCTATGACCACTTACCATCCATCCTAATGACCACTTAACATCCATCCTAATGACCACTTACCATCCATCCTCTGACCACTTACCATCCATCCTGCAACCACTTACAAACCATTCTGACAACTACTTTCCATCCATCGTGATATGAACACTTACCATTCATCATGGGGATAACTTACCTGTGTTGATACGAGGTCACAGTCGATGTGTTGACCTTTGCCAGTACGAAGTCTCTGTAGGAGAGCAGCCATGATGGCCCCATGAGCATATAGCCCTGTAGATAGGTCTGTCATTGCTACACCAACTTTACATGGTTCCCCGTCCTGTTTATGATAGCAGTGTTATGATTGCAAAGGTAATTCCTTGTGAAAATATCAGTAGAAGATAGGAAAGATCCAAAATATTCCAAGATTTCATGTCTCCATCACTATCATTCCTAACATGTACATTTTTGTACTGGCAACCAGTCTTCTGATCAACTTCATTTCATTCAAAGAGTTTAATTCATTAAGTGGCATTTGTAACTCAGAGAAGTATTTTCAATTCACCCCAGTATTTTCTCCATTTTTTACAAAAAATGAATAGTCTTCATATTTCTTGGTATCATATGTTACTCTGTCTTCAGCCAAATTTCATATTCCCTTGTCTGCTTAACATCACATATCTTAAAAAAGATCAACTACATTAATACAGAAGATTTGTGTATTGATGACGCCAAAAAGATCCAATTTCTACCCGAAGCCAATGTGATGCTAGAACATCGTTATTCTACTACAAGATAAATGAAACACCTACAGCCCTATAATGCAGGTCCTACAGATACTATACCCTAGGCCCTGTGATGTGGAGTAATCCTCCTAGTCCAGCTGCTATGATGTCATATCCTGCTCGTTGTTGATAGGGCCCAGTTTGACCATAACCTGTAATGTGACATCTTTCATTCCAATTTAATCCATTTTAATCCAGTTGTTTTAGAACCTTTTTTTAACGCATTAGATTTTAGAAACACAGCACTTGATGAATGTTCAAGATAATGGAATAAATCAGGTGTGTCCTATGTTTTATCAAATTAGGAAATATATACCAGGTATATGAAAGGTATCATTAACACCTATTTCCAAACAAACTGATTTCTTTTAAAACATATGAAATGAAAAAATATGATATGAATGATATACCTGTCCTTTTGTTTAAGCAATATCACATCTGTCAGAACATGTCTGGTGAAGAATCAGTTCAGATACCATAAAAACCCATGTAATGTGCACATCTACATAATTTGGGTTCAAAATGCTGAGAATATAGCTTACATAATTTGCACATCCAAAAATTCAGTCAAAAATGATCTCCAGGTGCAAATAAATCAGACTCGGAATATTCAGGTAACATATCAGACCAACAACATAAATCCAACACCTGAAATTTTTCTCTTCAAAATTCATTTTCATCTCATTTATTGACTTGTAACTACCTTGTTCTCTTTACTTATAGGTACAATACAATTGGAGAAAAATATTTTCCTAATATTTGTGCACTTTTTGTTTTCTTTCTGTACAGTTACCTATCCAGTTAACCTATATTTTGTACACAAACACTTGTCTTCACACCAGGTATAATCAACGGCATTCAGTGTTGAAGTACAAGAGTTATCTACCTATTAATGACCCAAACCAGGTAATAACAATTCCTGTATCGTTTCCTTTCATGTCTTGCTATCACATCATGTATGCCCCAAATAAAATGAGGCCTGAACTTCTTCATGCAAGTGAACAGTATACGGAGCACACAATGTACTGTAGGCATACATATGTGTATTGTCAAAAGAGGAAAGATGTTTCATTTCAAAAGACTATCCCTATTTATTGTGATGAATAAGTTATTGAAAGACTCATAAATATGCTTCATAAATAACTTTAAGACAGATTTTAACAAGAGGCCCAATTGGCCTGCAACACTCACCTGGTATATATTAGGTAAAAAATGGCTTAACATTTGCATATATCAGCCAAATTTGACTGCTGTGACCTTGAATATTAGGTCAAGGTCATTTGTTTGACAAACTTTGTGGGGCTTCATCCTAGGAAGATACCAGCCAAATATCATACCTTTTGGCCTTTTAGTTCATCGAGATGTTGTTTAAAGGTTTTAACAAATTTTACCCTTGTAACCATAGGTCAAGGTCAATTCTTTTTATAAACTTTGTTGGGCTTCATCCTAAGAACATACCAACCAAATATCATGTCTCTAGGCCTTTTAGTTCATGAAAAGAAGTCATATGAATGTTTAAAAAAAAAATTGACACCTGTGACTTTGAACATATGTCGCGATCATTTCTTTCTTCAAACTTTGTTGAGCCTTCGGGCCAAGTGAGCTACCAGGTAATAAATAACTAATCCATTATCATAATACTATCACACTCTACATACCAATGTCAAAGATCACTTCGGCCAATACACAAACGGACATGTGTTCATGACTTCTTTGTTACAATATCCAATGTAAAGAAGAATAAAATGAATTCTGTCATTTCTTAATAGTTGGACATGTAAGTATTTCAAAACATATCATATTACAAACACCATTTTTTGTAATATTCCAAACAGGCCACCGTCTTTACTGAACAGTAACTTCTTGTCTTGCTAGTTGCCATCAAATTTTTAAACACCTAATCCTTATTTTGGATGAGAAACTGGACACATTATGTGGGTTTTTACAATAGTAACCAAGACATTTTATATGATTTTAAGAACACCTACCAAAGAGTAAATATCTATGCTGAAACTATCTAGTCAGAGCCTTGTGATCAGAGCCATTGATGTAGCACAAAAATACCAAATGGCAGGAAGTCAGACCTGATATAGAGCAGTAGATAAGGTCTGGGTGGGAGGCTGCCAGCTGACTGTATCCCAAACCCATGTTGTCCAACTTCCCAGGAATGTAGTTCTCTACCAACACATCACACTGTCTCACCAGCTACAACAGAACAATTAATCAAACTTAAATATTTACATCTCGTATTTCCAAATAGGAAATCTTCCTATCAGTAAAGATCAACAGGAAAAATATCCCCCCCACCAAAAAAAACAAAAAAAACAAAAACAAAAACAAAAAAAAATTCACTGAATGATTTAACTACCTAGATAATGAGAAAGCAATGTTTTGCATGAAATAAGTTATTCATAGGATTGCTATATAAGTGTAGTGTAAACATGCTTATTTTGACCCAAATGAAGTTAAGTGCAATATCAATTTTAAATAAATAGGGAAATGATGAATATGCACATTTGCAAACCCTTCACAATGACATAAACTGAAATTAACACAATCTAATTTCATCCAAATATTTTCAATGTCAAATGTGCTAAAAACATGTACGCTTACAGTAAAACTACCTACCTCCTTAACAATTTCTTGGCCATCCTTTTTCTTAAGGTCAATAGCAATACTCTGGGAAAAAATAAAGATATTTTGTTAGCTATAATGATAGAAGTGTTTTATAAGTAAAGACTGATGCACATCGGTGTGATGTCTTGTAAAAAAACTACAATATCTTTAATAATCCATTTACTTTGAATAGGAGAGAAATCCTATTTATTATTGTCATGCCATTTATTTTTGTACTAAATCCAGGTACCTGTTGAAATATCCAACAACAAATGTATATCAAAATTTTTTTTTTCATGTAAATATTGTGCCCAGGAATTATTTGACAAATAAACACCATATTTTTCAATATTATTCATCAACATGATCTGAAATCTGAAATGTTCCATAAAAACCTACTTTACAAAAATAAAAGTTAAATATTAATTGATAATAACAATAATCAACACCAGTACACAATAAAATACCATTAGTTGTGTACACTGAATTAAACCTGTGTAGTGATGTATCAGTAATAACCTTTTTATTCCTGTTGACTGACAAGAAGTAAGCACTCTCTGAACCACAAAATGGTGGACCCCATGTTCTAGTGTCATCACCAACTCCTGAAAACAGATTAAGATCATATATCAACAACCCAAACTAAGGACATATATTTAAAAGATAATTCTTATCAGTGCAGAAGTTAATAATTCAATATAAAAGATTAATCAAATTTCATTTCATGTTGATTTTTTTCTTAGATTCAGGATCATAACCACCCTCCATTTAAGGATTCATCAAACAAAAATGAAAATAAGTTGAAGTAATTATGAGAGATCAAAAAAACTACAATGCTACTGATAACTTACCAGGTTTTTCTACTTTGATAACATTAGCACCAAGATCAGCAAGAATCATTGTACAGTAGGGGCCTGCCAGTACCCTGTAATACAGTTAGATCTGTACAGTTACAATCATTGTACAGTAGGGGCCTGTCAGTACACTGTAATACAATTAGATCTGTACAGTCACAATCATTGTACAGTAGGGGCCTGCCAGTACCCTGTAATACAGTTAGATCTGTACAGTTACAATCATTGTACAGTAAAGTCCTGTCAGTACACTGTAACACAGTTAGATCTGTACAGTCACAATCATTGTACAGTAGGGGCCTGTCAGTACCCTGTAATACAGTTAGATCTGTACAGTCACAATCATTGTACAGTAGGGGCCTGTCAGTACACTGTAACACAATTAGATCTGTACAGTCACAACCATTGTACAGTAGGGGCCTGTCAGTACACTGTAACACAATTAGATCTGTACAGTCACAATCATTGTACAGTAGGGTCCTGTCAGTACCCTGTAATACAGTTAGTTATATAAAGTCACAATCATTGTACAGTAGGGGCCTGTCAGTACCCTGTAATACAATTAGATCTGTACAGTTACAATCATTGTACAGTAGGGGCCTGTCAGTACACTGTAACACAATTAGATCTGTACAGTCACAATCATTGTACAGTAGGGTCCTGTCAGTACCCTGTAATACAGTTAGTTATATAAAGTCACAATCATTGTACAGTAGGGTCCTGTCAGTACCCTGTAATACAATTAGATCTGTACAGTTACAATCATTGCACAGTAGGGGCCTGTCAGTACCCTGTAACAGAGCACATTAGTCACTTCATGTTTAGACAGCTATTTTGTTTTATCCCCGAGTCTGTACTAATATGTCTGGTCAGTAAACACAAGGATGCCTGAACAAAATTGGATCCACTTTCAAAATCCATGCAAATCCAAAAGCATGTGTTCACCTTTAAATCAAAAGAAATAATTTTATCAATTCCATAATAAAGAATAATGTACCTGGTAAGGTCAAGAACTTGAATTCCATCCAGAGGTCCACCAGCTAAATTTTGTTTTTCATCTAAAATAACAATTTTTTTTAACATCAGATTACAATTAAGACACAAGTGTTTAATCTGAAAGAAAATACAACTATTCCAAACAGAATTATCAGTAAATGTTTGAAATAATCTATTTGTTAGGTTTATCAGTTGGTTTTAGACAATCAGAGTCATTTTAAGAGAAGGTCTCCTTATAGTAGCTACATCAATGAATAAAATGTGGGAGGACATAACCACATCAGCACAGACTGGTCTGTTTCTCAGCTTCTCTGAAAGCAGAATCCAATTATGGTTAAGGAAAGTCAAACCAAGCACCTCAGACCTTCCTCTGAAGTTTTGTAGACCTATGTTCTAGCCAAATGAGCTATCACAACCTCTGAATTACTTTTAATTAATTAATGATATTAAGAATTATGTTTATTCAATACTAGAAATAATACTAAAATCTAAAAATAATATACAATATGCACTGATGCAAATTGTTTAAAGAAAATAAATAAAATGTTGAGGAAACATTATTATCCAACTGTTATAAACTGATCAAAATATCTTTATAGTTTTTGAAAAACACTAACTGCACTTACATGTGTCGTTATCAATAACAAATTGTAATTCCAGCCTCGCCTGTTAGTTACTGATAAAGTTATATCACAGAATAAAAACAATTTTGGTTTTTTTCTTTTTTTTTTAAGATTTAACATAGAACTATGTGTAAAGGTACGTCAAATTTTGAATATAGCTTTGGAGAGATTTGAGAATAGCTGGAGTCAGCTGATCTTTAAAGATATCTACAATGTCTATAGAGAGGATATTTCAATTGACAATGGTGTGCGGATCTAAAGAAGGACCATCTGAAGGCATCATCTGTTGCAGATAAATGCCTGAAACTTCAATTGTTTAATTTTTGGGTTCTACTGTCAATAAGAATGAGGATATCAGTTGTAGAAACAGCAAAGACAGTGTGTAAAATTTTATTGAAGACACAGGGCATGTTTTTACATGATACTTCAGTTTGAATGGACAATCAGGGACGTATTATACGTCCCTGGGACAATGTAGATATTCTATCATTCCTGACACACTTGTTGTGTTATGGTAGTTATGGCATACATCTCTAGCTGCATTGAACCATTTGACACTAAATGTTCTCAAATTGGATATTCTACTTATGGTTCAACTGAAGTGTCACCCCCAGGTACTTGGCTGATGAGACAGAATCCAATATATGGTCATGTAAAGTGAAGTTATATGCAATAGAGTGACTTTTGAGTGACTGATAGTGATGTACATCTATCAGAGTAGAAAGCCATTAACCAATCTAGATCTAGTTGAAGTTTACTACAGACTTCCTGATCAAGCATCAGTGAATAGCAAGCTTTAGTGGGATATTTGGGGAGGTCATATAAATAAGGAATAGTTCAGGTCAGAGGACTGTGCCCTGTGGGACCTCTTATGTAACGCTCTCAGAGGAGACATCACATATCTCTACAGACTGGGAAAGATTACTTAGGAAAGCAAAAATTCAGTTTAAGTAGCTTAATTTTAGCAGTTAATGGAGGTAGACTGGATGCCATGAATTTTTTATTTCTTCTGAAACGTCCAACTTTAAAACAATTTTGTATAACGAAACAAAATATGTAGTTACTGTAATAAAAAGGCAATCACAGTTAAAAGACGTTTACATTGAAATCTGAATGACAGTGAATTAGTCTAGAATTACTACAGTAAATATATATGCTGAGGAAATAGGGTGGGCACCTTATGTCTTAATCGACCGATTGGGGTTTGAAAGACAACACGATTCAGACCTAAATCCTGTGTCGTCGAAAAGAATTGGAGCCTTCGTTTTGCAAATATGTTGGAAATGCAAATTCTGCTAAGTCTATTCAGTTCCGTCAACATTGTTGACTCCTTCAATACCAGTCAGCTGTCGGTTGTGTAAACATCTCTACCAGAGTTGTCGTTCCTTAATGTGCGCGCCGTGTATTTTCACTGTATAATATTGAATGTTATCGCAACTATTCATATTCACTTGTGTTATTTTATTGTACTAACTTTGATGATACGTTGTCACTCCGGGCAGTCCATATGATAATGTTTACACAACAATATACATGTCATATGGTATGAACAAATTTTAACTCATTATGTATTTGTTTGGTGGCAGTTCATCGACATAGCGTAACTAGCAAGAAACGAGTCTTAAGGGGCGTGAAACTAATGCGACAATGACATATATATGGTTTGAAGACGTGATACACAATACTCATGAGTACCACCGTTAATCAGTGGTGCTATAACTGTACAATAACCAATATATATATAACGTTATCATAGCCGTAAACCCTTGTTTAAAAAACACACACAAATTTTTTGGTCGGGGTGAATTGTGTACGCCGTACCCGTCCCGGCCCGGATCTTTACCGGCTGGTCGCCCGTGCAGCAAATATAATACTTAAGATTTACTTGGGCATATATTCGTTGTTTACAAAATGAACGCAAATGAGAATAATACAGAAGTAATGAAAATAAACGTTCCTTTCTGACGGTATGAAATTTTAAACGATTCGTTGCTGTGACATAAAGAGACGTCCATTTAATGTTTACATATAGATATATAATGTATATCCCTACTCTAAGGCATTTGTGACTCTTTGTAAACAAAACACTTAAAATTACGAGCTAACTATTCAGTGCGTATCTGATATGTCTACAAGTGTCCAACCTAACATATATATCAATAGCTTAATTAGGAATATACTTAGTTGTATTCTTATATATTTAGAAAATATATGATAGAATCGCACATTTGTGCGATAGAAACACACCACGTGCGCACAATTGTGCGATAGCTTATTTCGTCCTGTTTTCTTACAGTGAAGACATCGTGTGCACATCGTGTAACGTTGTGCGATACCACAACTGTATTATCAGCAATAATTATGTTTTTGATAGAGTTTCCTGACTTTTTAACAAATAATAATAATGAATGGGCTTTCATATAGAACTGCGTCCTCGTCGTAAGGTCCGGTAACATTCTTAGTTTTGTCCCATGCTGAGGAAGGCTGAAGGTCGCACGTGCATATGCGTCAGAGAGAAGTATTGGCCTGCCCCCACCATGGGAGTATACAGACGACCCGATAGTTCTTTCATGATAAATGCAAGATTCGATATGAACTACGCCTCTTTTTTTATGAAACTTTTGTATTTACAATCAGATAATCATGCATGTATAATTACTGTTTGGAATAGAAAAAGAAAACAATGAAATCAAACAGTAAATTAGCTGTTATGTGCAAAAAAAAATTGCATGATAAAAAAAGAAACCCAAAGTAAACATATAGCTTTTCTTCGCAAAAATTAAGGTGTACTAGTACAAAGTTTTCCACTCCAAAAACTAAAACTTCGCGAAGGTTTGAAGGAGACATTGTGATTACAGAACCTGAAGATATTTCATATCTGTATTTATTGTTCTTTTCTGACGCGTTTGCGTTCTTACTATGGATTTAAATATCACTTCCTGTACGTGTAGTGGTAAGTTCGACACAAACTACCACCGTACATAAACGGGGAAAGATAAAAATAGCACACCGTGCGAAGTGATTGATAATGTTTTGACCAAATATGGATTGTATTTTCTTTTATAAGGCAACGACAATTGCAAAAAATAGTTTTGATTTCAAACAAATTGACTTTGTTGTGTTATAGTACTGTTTCTAAGTAACGTATAAATAATTCTTCAGAGAGTTTGCCAGTGTAGACTTTCCTGTAAAAGAATTTGCAAATGTTCGTTCTTTTCCTTTTATTATACTGATGGTTTACACTAGAAGCATATATGACTTGTTCGGGTAGACTATTCCATTTTTCTTACTGTTCTTATTGAGAATCGCTCGCTTTGGGGGTATATATTTTCTTAGGAGTTGTCTGCCCTGCTGTGTCTTTCTGATGTTTCCTCTCTTAGTACGGCAGCATTGCAGTAGTCCTCGTTTATTTCAAAGTTAACTGTATCTATGTACATGTGATAATGTTCACTTTCTATTTGACATAATAAGCAAAATAATATGATGGAAATAATAAGTTGAAATGGTTCTTCCTGTCAGTGTGTAACCCAAAGTAAAATGAAAGTAGATCGAATCAACATGAAAATACGCAACTACGTCTAAAGTCCACATCGGACTTCCGGTTTTCGTCGACGTGAGAGATTGACCTTGGAAATTTAAGAATCGGCACACAAGGGAACAGTCTTTACTTACCGGCTTATTTTTTACAGCAAAAATGACCACGGAGGCTCCCTACGATAAGTACGTGAAGCTCGCATTTGAAAGGGTCACAGAAGCTCTCCGGACCAGGTTTAAAGAGTCGCCGCTCCAGGCTGCCAGGGTATGTTACCGTACCTTAGGACGTTCCATGGACGCTGGTCTATTCGACCACTATGGACGCATCTAATTTATCAGTTTGTCGAATCTTGCTTCAAAACATTTAAAAGGTTTTGCTTGTTGTACCACTGATTCTGGTAGATAATTCGAATTACCTCCTGTTCAGTAAGTGAAGTTGAACTTCCTCATATTTATGTTGCAGCACTGTTTATGTACTTTAAAGCTAAGTCCCCTTGTGAATGTACTTTTTGTTTTAGCAAAGAATTCATCAGTTACCTTTTTTGTTGTGTATACCATTCATGATCTGTAATATTTCTATCACATCACCTCTTAAACATCTATATTTCAGTGTTAGCATCCTTAGTTTCTTCAAACGGTCGCTGTATTCAATGTCTTTTAATGATGGAATATGCTTTGTAGCCCTCCTTTGACCATTTTCTTCAAGTTCTATGTCCTACTTAGCTATGTTGAAATATTCCAAAAACTGGTTGAATACAATGTAGAACATTCATGTTTTTGCTTTGTAAGATATTTTCCATTTCAATGTCCAGTTCTTTTGTCGTTTTTACATAAATCCCCTTAAAATAGTTCCACTTTTCAACTTTATTATTGGGTCTTTCTTTGTAACACTTGAATTTGAATTCTAGCACACAATAGTAACTATGACCCAAAGGGCTGTCATGTTGTATATCCTTCAACATACCCTGGTCATTGCTTAAGATCAGATCCAAGGTGCTTGGCTCATTGCCTCGTTTTATTCTAGCAAAGTTGTACAAATGTTGAAACAAATAACTATCTGTAACACACTCCAAGAAATTTTCTCCGTTTTTATATCCATGACTAGTCCAAGAATCCCAGTTAATTTTTGGATAATTAAAATCCCCCATCAAAAGTATGTGTGCATAATCCTTTCTCATATTTGAAATTTCTGGTATCAGTTTTCAGAGGTCATTGATGTTTTTTTGCATTGCTATTAGGGCTCTTATATACACATCCTATCAATAATGAATCCCTTTCATGCATTTTTGTCTTAACCATAAGCCAACCATAAGCCATTTGTTACCTTTATTTCCTCTGTTTTTAGATCTCTCCTTATGTATAGTGCTGTTCCTCTGACTGTATCAGTGCTTTGATAATTTATAAACAATTCATACCTATTTATATTAAGCTCAGCGTTCCCTGGTTTATATCTACAATTTTTTGGGTATCCTTTCATCTTACTAATAATGTTAATAGGCTTCTATGAGTTCTGAATACATGATTTATTTGGTAGAATTGCATAAAAACAATCAAATCCATTAACTTATTTACAGCAGAAACATTAAACATTCTTACAGTATTTTCTTCTATGTCTGTACTTCAACTTGTGCCTTTACTCTCACCACCTTTCTTTTCCATGGAGGTCCCTTCCCTGTATATTTGAAGTCCCATGTCTTTCCTATGTCGTTTTTTGCCTTGGCTTCTTCTAGTTAGATCTTCTGACCCAAGGGACCATGATGACCTATAGTCATCATGCTTCAACTGTCGTTGTCCGCCGTCCACCATCATCCACCACGCACCATCCGCTGTGTGTAAACTTTAAACATTATGATTTCAAACTTCTCCTTAAGTTTCACTCATGGGATTGAGCTCAAACATGTAGGAAATGATCCTGAGAAAGTCCTGACCAATGGCAGCCATCTTCAAAAACATATTTTCTCCAGTCCTCTGGTGCCATTGAGCTAAGAATTGATAGGAATGTTAAAGAAAGGTAGCCAACAAAGTGTTGTTATTTTTCGACATTTGATACAGCAGACAGGGAGGTCATTTTGTAACATGATTGCACAATCATGGTTTTCTTGTGCAATGCCTATTTCAAAATTCTTCTCAAGTTCCAACTGTGGGATTGAGCTCAAACTTGCATGAAATGTTCCTGAGATGGTCCTGACCAAGTGTTATTTTTCGTGTATGTCTTAAATCCAAGATGGTGGCCATCTTGGAAAACATATTTTAAACTTCTCCAGTTCCCCTGGGGTGGGAGGCATGTGGACCTATTTGGGACATGGAGCAAATTTCCTAATATCCTTCTTCTTCATTAGGAAGGATTAGATATAGCCTAAATTTGGTCTGAAGTATTCTTGAGTGAAGAGGTCTAAGTACAGAATAAACAGTTCAACCCGGTCAGGTGGGGCAAGAGGAGTGGGACAATGTAATTTCTGAAAAGTCCTTCTTCCATACAAGGATATAGTCCAAATTTGGTGCTTCAGTTTGACCACAAGAATGGGACTCAATAGGGAAGTTATATCAGAAATTGTTTATCATATTTGAAATTCTTTTTGTAAATGGCTGAAAAGCTAAACTAACCAGATGAGTGATGCAGGCCCCTTGGGCCTGTTGTTTTGCTTCAAAATGCTACTCTTCCTGAATGTTAGAATGGATTTAAACCAAAAGTGGTCTGAAACATCATTTTGGGTATGGTATTGTTTCTTAGATTCTGAAAATTGATTTGACCCCTAGGCCGTGGGAGCAGGCCCCAAATGGGGATGTTTGTCAATATTGCTTCAAAACGATACTCTTCCTTAATGCTTGAAAGGGATTTAATTCAAATTTTGTCTGAAACATCAGCAAAAGTGAGCATTTAATTTTTAAATTCAGAAAGTTCATTTGACCACTAGGGATGGGGCTCCGAAAGGGGAAGTTATTTCTTCTTAATGCTTGGGTAGATTTCAACCAAATTTGACCTGAAACATTATTGTAGGTAGGTTGTTATCTCTTAAATTCAGAAAGTTAATTTGACCCCTAGGAACTAGGATGTGGGGTCCCAAATTGGAAAGTTAGTCATAGATTTTGCTTCAAAGCACTACTCTTCCTTAATGCTTGAAATGATTTTAACCAAATGTGGTCTGAAATATCATCATGTGAATTCATAAGATTTATCAATCCATTCATTGATTGTCAGATGACCGTTCAGGGCTATGGCCCCCTTGTTATCCTTATTTAGGAACAAAAATAAGTATAACTAAATATAACTTTTTTAGAAATTTTTTTGGGTATGGCCTTTTTGTAGTAAAAGTTTTGTTAAGACAAGTATGTTGTGATACCTATAGAAAAAGGTTTGAGTTATTTACTTAAGAATGTAACTTAATAGAATTTTCACAGCATCAGTTTAAGCTATTGTACTTTCTTAGTAAAAATCACTTGTTTTTCCTATGAAATTCTGTTAAGTTTGTGTTTACTTCCTTATTTCTATTGTTTTTGCTTCATTATTCTGTTAAAATTCAGTACTTACTCGCTTCTGTTTTAGGATGAGTTGGTTTTATTACACAAGATGGACGAGGACCAATTGAAAGCGTACAGGAAAAAGGACCTGAACAGAGCATTATGTAGAGGGAAATATCTAAATGGCGAAATAGAGGTCGTTAAGGTACTCAATAGTTAGGTGTAAAATTTAGAAATATGTACAGTCATACACCATAGAGATATTGTTAAGGTACTCAATAGAATGGTGTAAAATTTAGAAATATGTAGTCATACACCATAGAGGTTATTAAGATACTCAATAGTTGTGTAAAATGATTTTTTTTTTTGAAAAACCTTGAAAATTGAGTCCAATGAAAATAGCCAGTTTGATTATATGACCAATGGAGTTATGTTTCGATTAAAAGTCAGAATTTGGGGAAACTTTTTTCAGTCTCTAACGGTTACTTTTGATTTCCAGAAACGGCTAAATGACTGTATGTTAGACTGTCCTGTCAAAGCTTATGATCAAGCAGCTGGTTCAGGAAAAGATGCAGAGACGGTGCTGGGGCATTGCATGTTGAGGTGTGCAGATTCACAGATCTCACGATTTGGATCTATGTTTAAACGCATGGAAAGAGCTGTGGATGATATAGATAGCAAGTTTTGAAGAACTACAGTAAACAATGTTTGGTGCAAATGTTGTTAAGTTGTGGAACAGAAGAAATTTTCCAGTTGCTTGTAAAAATCTTTGACTGTGTGTCATGTGTCTGTAATAAAAAAAAATTCAGTTAAATTTAGCAAAGTGTTGTATGGTGGTTAATTCGCAAATTTCATTTGTAGGTTCCCTTTTGTCCCTAATGTTCCATTGGCTCAATTTGGAACCGATCTGAAAAATAGAATTGCTGACATAGACTACCTTGGATTTTGCCAATGAAAATCTCTTTTTTGTCATTGCTTATAAAGTACTGCATGGATCTTTCTCAGATTTCAAATATAGCTTACCTGTGGACCCTGTTTTTGCCCTTTTGATCGTAGTAGAGATCAGAAAAACAAAATGGCAGTAAGTTTGGTTTTGCTACAAGGTATTTCTGTAGAGTGATTTTCAAATTTCATTTAAGAGCTAGAACATAGGAAAGAACAGAAGTATTATAGTTATTTAGTCATAAGCTATGTTTGTTGTTGAACTATCGACATTCTCCTTTATTAGGCCTTGCACCTTAGGCCAGAGAAGAAGGGGATGGTGGTGGTTTGCTTCAATTGTATTCAGACAGAATCAGGGAATTCCCTCAATGAAGGAATTTTAAAAGTTTTCTCTATTTGCCCTCCCTTTCCTGTCCCAATTGGCTGCGACCCAATGTTTATTCAAAATTGATTTCCTCTCAACCAACAATGTTTTAGATGAAATAGGGACAGAATTCTTTTGATCCTATGGAAGAAATGAGATTTTTATGTATTTGCTTTATTTCCCCAATCTGGACGAAATCCACAATTTAATCAAAATAATTCTTCTTCAATCAAACATGCTTTAGACTTGAGACAGATTTCCGGCATTCATACAGCAGAAAGATTTTTAGGCTATATGTAACACAGTTACGGTTTCAGCATTTTACTATCAATTCTAGCTTTCTGATTGGTGGAAATATTCCAAGAAACAATTCCATAAACAAAGCTGCCATCTCGCAAAACAAAGTCATGTGTGTATACTGTCGCTATGGGAAATCAAATACTGTACTAAAACTTGAAAACAAAATGACAAACTAGGTATTCCTGAAAATATTCAGATTGAGATTTGCGTCAATTAAGAACTAGCACTGGTCTGGTTTGCAGAGAATTCTGGGTGGCTGGACCATAGATATCTAACCTAGATGCCGCAACTGTTGATGCAATGTGTCTGCAGCACAGCCATCTTGGGAAGGTATTGCCGCTAGCACCAAACCATAGCTACACAGTGGGCCTCGTGCTGGAAATCCCACTAAAAAAGGTGTAGCTCGGTCACTAACCCACGTATCAACACATATAATACTTCATTTTAAAGCTGGGAAAAAGTTCTATGCTGTAGTCATCTCAAAGTGGAGTTATCGGGAATCAAAATTAAAGAAAAATGTTCGTTTGTTCACTGAATGTTCATTCATCTTTACACTTTACACCACTTGGTGCTGAATAGATAATGATGAAGTATTTTAAACTATTAAATCTTTGAACTTTTAACTATATGAATACAAAAAGACTAAACTGTAAACTAACACATCATGCACACAGAATAATGTCCAACACTTTTCCTTTCCATGTATTTGGACTTTTCTGTAGGTGTCTACGATACATTCGATATTCTCTCCCAACCTCAGTTTTGACATTATAGGATGTAATGTCTGGTCAAGAATTATCCCTTTTCTCCATACTAATCACATTCGAGTTGGTTTTATCCTAAAATGATATCTGTGATAAGGTGAAACCAAATTTTCTATTGTGACCGACCTCCGGTGCAGGAAGGGACTTGAGTTTAAAAGTGTTATTATAGGTATAAAACTTGAGCAATCTATTTAATTTAACTTCGTCCGTCAACTTTTCATTTAAACAACTTCTTCTGAAATACCGAAAAGCGTAGAGGTATCATATTTGGCTGGAAAGTTCCTTTGATGAACCCAACAAGGTTTGCAAAAAGAAATGACATTGACCCATATTCAAGGTCACATGGATCAAATGTGTTAAAACGTTTAAACAGTTTCTTCTGAAATATCGAAAAGCCTAGAATCATTATATCTGGCCAGTATGTTCCTTTTATGAAGTCCAAGAAAGTTTGCAAAAAGAAATGACCTTGACCCATAGTTAAGGTCACAGGGGTCAAATGTGTTAAACATGGAACATATGCAAAGATGTAGCACTATTTGTCATAAAGATCCAGGTGAGCGATACAGGCCCTCTGGGACTCTTGTTATAATACGTTATGTAAATTGTCCTTTTACTAGAAATATATCATTTTATTTGTATGGAATAGATAACAGTAATAACAGAGATCTTCAAACAACACCAGATGAAAAAAAGAAACATAAACATCGACGGCAAAGGCTATTTATAGTCTTTGGGTATTTCCAAAGTGATCACTTTCGATTTAGAGGAGTGAGAATATGTTTTACAGGGCCTGACTTATTTTTAATTCATCAATACTGCACATTACAAGTTATTACATGTGATGACATGTCACAATCTCAATAGAATTAACACGTGTCGAGTTAGCCGCAAAGAAATTAACAAGGCGTTCCTCCTTGCCACCAAATAATATCACCGGTAAGTATTATACCAAAACAAAACGGTATTTTACGCAATTTTTGATGATATCGGTCTTCATGTTAATTTTTACATGTATGAAGCACATATGGGTAAATGTTAATATATACATGTACTGAACTACTGAATGGAATATATCAATCACAGAAAAAAATCTGTGGACTTAAAAACACATGTGCAGGGTAAGTTTTTTATAGGTGAGTGGTAGCTTGGGGGAAATAACATTAGTAGACATAGCTTATTTGGGCAAAATTCAATACAAATTTCAAAATACAAAGATGTATCTCAGTAGTGTATGTATTTTGTCATCTTTTACACGAGTTTACTTTTATTCGAGGTTTTGAAAGAATCCCAAACAATATGACAGCTTGAAAGAATCCCAAACAATATGACAGCTGTAAGACCTTTTTTTTTGTATTTATTTACCATATTATTGAAAGCAGGTTGAGATAGGATTTTTCCAGTTACAACAAACAATGCATAGTAGAATTCAATATAAGATACAAAACGGTGCCAAGTAAGAACTAGAAGAAATTCCATTTTTATCTGTGTAGTTTGAATCCAAAGACATGTCTCATAGATCCCTAACACTATAAGTTGGACATGTATTATATGACTGGGAATCTGTGTGTGCCACATCCCTGACCAAATGCACGAACTTTTTTTCTAAGATTTTCCACTGCCAAATCTACTGTAGTTTTCTACCTGATTATGCCTTTTGACAGATCAATTGTCTGAGGATATTGTATATTTCTTAGCAAAATAAGTAGTTCTGTAATTTTTTCTTCTAATTAATATCTTTTTTTTTAATGTTTGTAGGGTATTCAATATATTTTTAATAATTTATCAACTGCTGCAATAGATTTTGGTTCAAAAGTTACGCATATGATGAATTCATAAAATACACATGATT